TTGATAGCTACAGCATTTTATAAATTTAATAATTTTAAAGTCCAGTACTGTATCACTAATTACTATACCTGCAAGAGCAATATACAAGTAAACTCTGTATATCAAGATGTAATTCATCAAAAATGAGATTTATAAAATTTGTGATAATTGACATAAGATACGGTACTTTTATTAACTAAATACAGACAAGAGACAATGATAAAATTGAATCTATTACTCCTTTCATTTAGGATATATTTTACATCTTGGGACTATGAACCAGCAATAAAATCCTACTAATATTAAGTATGAGTACTTTGTGTTTATACATTTGTAATTGTCTTTAATATATGAATAAATACGATCCAATGTAAATCTATCACTATTATACTTTAAATAATAATCTCATTACTAAATTTTCGCATAGTATTCATAAGATAGCAGCTAATCAATTGATTTGATTTAATTGAAAGATAATGTATCTCTAATTTCAATTAGAATCAATCAGTCAGTCTTATAGAATAAAAACGATGCCCAATTAAGAAGCCTGAATAGCTCATCACTAAATTTATCTTCTAATCGATTTTATTACTACTGAAATTGAACAATAATTATCAGAATACCTAGTATCAAATATTTCTGGCGTATAGTACTTACTTTATATAGAAATACATTGATCAAAAAATAACAAGATATGCCAGAATTAAAATATGAAAGGAACTACTAGATAACCGTTTCTCTATTTTTTCAGTTGCCTTAACTCATCATGACAACTCCATCAAATGAAGTTAACATGGCGCCGACAAATGACGGCTTACGATTGGTACTGTCGTTTGTGCAATCAATGAGTTTACTTCAATTTTCCTTCTCGAAAATCTTAATGCCAATCCTAATTATAGCGATAATAAATAATTCCTTGCTGGTTCTCGTTATCATTCGCGAAAAAGCCTTCCATAAATCGACCTATTACCTATTATGCAATCAAGCACTTGCTAACGCTATATGTCTCACTTGTGTGTTCATATTTTCGAGTACTTTAACCGTTTCGGCCGCTCCGTCTAATAGCATACCTAATAACATAACACAGTCACAATCGGCATCATCGATTAGTAATTATAGCAACTGTGCCCTTTCTTCGATGATTTATCACGGTTCGTACACGGTATCTGTTCTATCTTTGGCTTTTATTGCACTTGATCGATATCGAGTTGTTACTCAATCAAATGCGAAAAACTATGATATTAAGGCTATCCTTGTCACAAACGTGCTGATTTGGCTCGTTGGATGGGTTAATGGATACTTTTTTTCAAACTTTATTGATCATAATGTACTCTCCTTAACAGTATGCGACCTTAAATTTGATTCCCCTCAACTTGCTCAGGCTTATTTTACGATCAATTTTATCCTTACGTATCTTCTACCAACAATAGTCATCGTCACGTCCTATATTCTAATCATACGTTACTTAAAAAGAGAACACTCACAGATCCAATCCATTGCTAAAATAAAGAGAAAAAGGCGCAATCGTGTTATCAAAATGTCTATGGTGACAACTTTCTTTTTCTTAATACCAGCTTCTCCTTGGGCCATATTTTCGTTAATAATATCATTCCTTCAAATTAATTTTAGCGACATTGTAAATTATAATAATACTACTGTAATCATTCTAGCTCCTTTATTTCAACTTTTCTACCTATTAACTTGTATCGTAACGCCAGCTCTTATAGCTTCGTATAACAAAGCTATCAAATCAGCATTTGTACTGATTTATTTCTTTTACTTACCCAAAAAGTGGCGAGAAACCATTATAAATTTTAAAATTCCTTCTTGTATAATTTTTCATCCTTTTAATCGTGGTCATCCGTGATATTTATTTACGCAAGCAAACTCTGTGTATAACCAAACCAACTAGTCTAAAATGGACCAGTGTATTATAGAAATGAGTTTATCGTGCAGTATACAGTAAAAGAGTTAATGTGAATTCACACAATTTACCTTCAAAAATTTTTATCTATGAACCAGCTTTTGACATAGTTACTTCATTTATCTATGTTGTGGACAATTTGATAGCTGATAATAACTTTAATTAATAGTTTTACATAACTTGTTTATCTTTAACTACTTCTGAGACAGGAAAGTATTATAGTTGGACTTAAAAAAAAATTTTCCTGGTTATGAATACTGCTAAGCTTCTACATTAAGGTACAACCCAGTCCCAGAACAAATTTTACTACTCAAAAATCCCTATTACAGTAATAAAGGGAGAAATCCACATTTTAACAAGTTATTGTCAATATTGAAAATTTCATTCTAATCGTTTAATTCAACATGTAATTATCTAGCGCATCTTAACCTAACATTCATAAAGCTAATAAATGGTTGATATTTTCTACTACACGATTATGATTCATCCATAATTCTTATCTAAATCAATTATTCAAGCTCATCGCAACAAGTACTAAGTAATAATTATATCATATGTAATTAATAATTGCTCCTATCAAGAATGGTAATGGCTCGGCTAGTTACCAATAAAATAACATTCAATATGCATGAACTTTCAACGTTCAAATATGTTTTATGCTAGGATGTACTTCTACTTCAGTAAAATTATAGACTAATACGACAGATTTAAAGTCATTATACTTGATCATAAAGAAACAAATTTGAATTATACTGTGTTATGCACGAAATTACCTACTGTTCAAATAATTATAAACTGTTATCAGTTAGATATTAGTAAAACATACCCTTCTTTATTAAACATTATATCTCCCACCCATCCTTCGATTTTCTGAAATATCTTCCATCCTTAGGCTGTTTTACAAATAAAAACTAAAGGTCATGATCACAAATGGCAAACCAATATTAATATCAATTATCATTTTCTTTTTGTTTCAACTAGTAAAATATTATTAAAAGCATCATAAAGGATAGCATGATACTAATCGATCTATTAATAATAAACAATGTGATACCTTATATTACAAATGAGAATAACCAAATTATAATACTAAGCAATAGAATATTTAAAAGGAATTTAGTAATCTACTATGCTGTTATTATCATCTTCTTTCAGTGAATGGGTTAAATCTGTATAATAAAGTATATTGAGAAGATATACAAGGTAAAATGGTAGACTGTGATAATAGCATAATAGAAACAAGATATTTGCAAATATGGAATAATAACATCAATTTCTATGCTATATAGATTAAAAATACATAAGTAATCTTTATGGAGAACATATTATAAAATGTAATGATTAAAAATACGTTCATTAAAGCACAAATTACATAAGTGCTTGGCCATTCCTATTGCTTCATCCCATGTTACTGAACTATACTCGTATGTTCACTAAAGGTAACTAGCAATTGTACAGATAGCGATAATAAACATCTACTATCACATTAAACTACACTCTAAGAAAAAAATTGAAGGATATTAGGTAATTTAAGAATGTACACTTACAGCACTTTGATGACTTAGCAATTTACTGGAAGTATACAGCAATTATAATTTACGCAGCTGTAAAGCTAAGGAAGATAAAGATACTATCAGACTCTCATGACTAATTCATAATGTAGTAGATATAAATATACTGTTAGCAACAAATTACAGCTAGTTAAATTTAAACTCAGGCATATACTTTGAAAACAGTTTCATTTTAATAGGTTAGCAAACATAATTACAACTGCTGTACACATGCTGCTTACTGGATTCGTTCAAATACAATCAACAGGGAAAATTTCAGGATTCATAAAATTGCACTACACTACATTTAATTAATATTAGCTCATAACCTTGAGTATCAACAATATTCTCCATCTTAGAAATTTATATTAACAATAATAAAGTAGCATTGAGCACAATTAGGCATGATCAATTAACACAGACATAAATAATGAAACTATTAAATTACAATCACGAGTTGTTATCTAACAATATAAAGTTAATTAATTGTTCACAGCTTCAGGCAATTAACATCTGGAAAGTAATAAGCATTTACCAAGCTTCACATGCACCGTAACAAGTATATTAAAAATTGATTTATAATTTTATTACGATCAATTGAGGTAATATACAGTAAATATAAAATTAATCGTATAAATTAATGACCAATTTAAAATAGTAATATCTGTAAAATACATTATTAAGGATCAAATAATTATGCATAATTAAATGTTGCCCAAGAGTCATATATTAGTCAAATAAAAGTATTTAAGCCTGCTTAACTATTTATAGATACGAACTAAAAGCTGACAATCAAAAAAGTTATCAAATAGATATTACCATTAATCATCAATCTTCTATTTTATTATGAATATTGTTCTTCACGCCTGAAAGGATATACGTTGCAAGATAAATAGACCGGGATACGTGATTAGTAAGTTAATTAGCCGATCCAGTTATTCGCTAATTAATTCATTATATTGATAGTGTAGATACTGTAACGATAGTAGATATGTTAGCGGCCGACTATAAGATAGAAATTGTTCACTCTCAAATTAGCCAGGAACACTTGATGATTAAGTTAATGAGTCGATCCAGTTAATCGCTAGTCAATTAATTATATTGATAATATAATGTAGATACTCCAACAACAGTAGATATGTTAGCCATCGTCTAAAAGAGAAATTATTCACACTCAAATTACTCAGGGATACTTGCTGAATTAGTTCATTAGCCGATCCAGTTGCAGCCAGGGTTTGCAACCTGTCCGAATTTTGCTACCCCAGTTACAATCTCTAGTTGCAGCATTTGTTAATTATAGTAATTCAAAGTGAACAGTTTGCGACATCCTTAGAAATCAGACGGAGAGAGAGAGGGAGAGAAACGAAGTCCATGCTCTGAACTACTGTAGTTTGAGGTTCAGAACTACAGACAGTACAGTACAGTCCAGTACCGTTTACAGTGCGCAGTATTGTAACTGTGCTGTACTGTACACTGTAGACTGTTCAACACACCTCAGTACTGTACATGCGTACAATCATTTCTCCAACCGCTTCGGATGCGTTACCATGGCGGTCCGCCATTCCAGCGCCTTCAAAAACAGCTGCATCGTTATGCCGAGACGGCCAAATTCCAAATTAGCAGCAACTTTCGACGAAAGAACCGTCAAAAGTGTAGAAATTAAAAGCCATGAAGATACATCAAATCAACGAGACAATGATAATCGCGTAATGACTAAAGTTAGATTAGTCGCCAAGTCGAATCAGCAAGCTGATCAACGAGAGGCAATCCATCAAGATGACGAAGATTTTTATATAAAACTGTCCAAATTGAAAGCGCAACAACGTCAAACTTTACAGCAATTAGAGCATTTATATGATAGAAAATTAAATGAATTTTATGGAAAGGAGATTAGTCAGAGTAGTCATGATGTAGAAAGGGAAGATATGCATTCATATCGACCTGTCAATACTACAGGACAATATGATTGGGCCCGTTATAGAGATGCATACTCGAGTGACGAAAGTCCAGCGTCAATGGAAGATATACAAGTAAGTTATCCTAAACAGATTAATACAGGCAAATCGCAATTATATCCAAGCCATAATGATCCTTTCTATGAGATTAGATCTGATAGCAATGATAACGGCGATAATTCATACGATGACGAAAGTGCATATTTGCCAAAGAACAAATATGAGCCCTCCGGCTATCAAGATACCATTGGAGAGTATCATGATGAGATTCACTTAACTGACAGCGTAGACAAGATTAAAAATATGTGGGATAAATTTAATATTAAGAACTATACAACTTCAGTCGATTCGCCAACTCAATTAAATAAGAGTAGCAAGGCAACTTCTGATAATATACAGCGTCGTAAGATTACCATTCCAAGGCCGTTCTCTATGACCATCCGTGAGGAGGGTAAGCCAAAAACAAAAACAGCAGCTCAGATAGAACTAGAGGAAAAACGAATACAACAACGAATTGCAGATGAAATTGAATGCAGAAAACAATTTCAATCCACGCCTATCCCTGCCACAACTTTCTTACCATTATATCAAGTTATGAAGAATAGAAAAGACCTTAAAAGCAAGAAAAGGCGAGAGAAGAGCAAAGAGCATTTGCAATCAGTGCAAAAACCCTTTTCATTTATCACTAAAGAAAAAAGTAGGAAGGAACGCCAACGTTCAATGTCATTAACCGATGCTGTGTCATTTGATGAATTTAATGATATCAAATCATTTAAAGCGAAACCCGTTCCAAAGTATCTATACGACGCTTCCATTGATGATAGAATACGAGAGCAGGAAGAATACCGAAAAATCTATATGCGCATGAGAGCGGAGGAATTATTACATCAGTCTAGATTACCTGCAAGTATGGAAGCAAGAAATCAACACGTAAAAGCTACATACGACAAAGATCGAAATGCACAACCATTTGTAACCAAACAGCACCGATTTCATCCTCAAATTAATCATGACGTCCCAGACTTTGATTATTTGCAAAGACAATTTCAAAGGCAACTCAGTAAAAAGAAACGTTCCATTTACTCAACTGTGACAGAACCTTTTACATTGCGAACATCCTTCATCGATCGTCGACAAAAACCAATACCTAAGGAAACACAGGATCCGAAATTATTCAAAACTAGACAAAACAGTTTATCTAAATCAACAGATAATTTCGTTCCTATTCGTATGACAACTTCAGCCAAACTAAAAGAAAAGAAAATCCGGCAAAGTTTAGATGAGCGGGCACTAAAGGAAAGGAAAGAAATGGAAGAAGAATTATTTCGTAAGCAACGCGAGAGAAATTTGAAAACAGCCATTTCGAAGAAAGTGCGCAGAAATGATCGCAGTAAAGACCTAGAATTTGAAAGTCAACAGAAAATTCAAAATTATAAGTATGAATCATGAAGCATAAATATCTGACGCTATTTTACTAAATGAAATTTGAATCTATAATTAATCAATATCGTATTAAAATGTAAAAGATTACATTTTCAATTTTTCTCTACAGAGAATCTGACCGTCTGCGTTTGGAAGAATATGATCGGGGTATATTAGAAATGAAAAATAGAGTTGAAAATAGACCACTCTTGTTCGAACGGGTAGCTCAGATGAGCGCTAAGAATGCGGCTGAAAAGAAATTTGCCAAAAAGTTACAGGATCTAGGTTTAACTGAAGATACAGTATCTAATATGACCAAGCTTAAAACGGATGGAAAAGTAAAATATTCGGCTGATGAATCAACGATACCAGCAACAGAGAGTGACGACGATGATCAATTCGACAATTTGCTGTCTAATATTCCGTCTGTAAGTCACAAAGATGAGGATTTGGTACCTTTTGAAACTAGTAGTAATAATGAAGAAGAGATTTCCGATAATCAATATTTGAATAGTTCAATACCTGAAGATATAGAATCAGATGCTGGCAATTATAGTGAAAATTAAGAATTTTTTAATGTATAAATAAATCTGTTAAATCTATTTATTATATGAAAAACTAGTCAATCTGGTCAATGAAGTCAGTTTTCATTAATCCTGGCGTGGCTTTCATTTCCATTTTCGATTAAAGTCTACAAGTTTTGCTAAATACTTACGTTTTAGTGTATATAAAAGTGTATGTTTGTTTCTTCGATGAATATACACAATTCTGACTAATCTATACAAGTAAGTGTTAAATATTCATTGTTATTACATGATCCGTAATCGTCTTAACCAGATAAAACATGAATAAAATTGGCAAACGATTGCTGATTGGTTTTGCGAATTACGATTAGTAATTTTTGTCTGATATTTTATTGTTCAGCGGTATGCAAAATGTTTAAAATTCAGTACTTGAATCGATGTACGGTTTAAATCATACTTCATACTCTATTATTACCGATCTTGAGTTATGGTATCAAAGTTATACGGAGTCGCATCAATTTAGAAGTATGAAATATATTTCTAAGAGCAAAACAGTTTGCTTTTATTAAGGAAAGATTTACTATAAGTATCGCAAGTTATTAAGTTGCTTTTTGTATCAGTTTGTCGTTAGTATACACTATTTCAGATTAAGTTTGAATCAATGAGTCAATAGTTGGTTAACATCGAACGATTTCCGATATCCAATAAAATTTGTAACCATACTGGTACAATTATCGGTTCAAATATAATCAGTGCGACGATATAATTAATCCTTCAGTATGTGTATTCCCTGCTCAGATAGTATCCTGTATTGTTAATATTGAAAGCTAGTAATGAGTAAAGAAGATAGCTGAAAGTGTCAATGACAAATCCTGATTCTGTGCGAGAACAAGAATTTTATGTGCGAATTAAAATAGCAAGATAACAGTGCAACATAAACATAAAACTTATTGCAATACTCGATACACATCAACCTATACATATAGAAAGGTACATTTGTATAATATTGTGCTTCATTTATAATTTACCCGTACAAATGTAACTACTAATCAGAAAAATGAACACGACTATACTACCAATAAGTTGGGACCTATAATTTGAAAGCTATAACGACATCATTTTATCAATAACTATCACAGCAATTCATATATCCTCATATGTATTAGCTATTTTTCCCATTTGAGTTCACTATAAATTGCTGTATACTAGTTTTATTCTGTCAGTCAAATATGGTTTTATCTCATATATGTACGAATAAACTCACCACTTTGTGCTCTAAGAGCTGCATAGCTCCATGTGATTTTTATTGTCCATCATAATTCTGCATCAATGTCTAAAAATTTACGCTTTTCGCATTTAAGAGCTCGAGATATGCTATTACATAAATGTCGTTTTATTAAACTACACTACGTTGCATATTCCATCCCAATCCTAGTAATCCCTAATAACCTTCTTAGCATAGTCAAGAAATGTTTCAAACACTGATCGAAAAGAGAGGAAATGCGAAACTGACTTAGCTACTACTTAAACATTGTACCATTTTCTCCACTAATATAATTCGTAAAATTCATACAAGCTATTGATATGAATGCAAAATATAAATAACTAACACTTAATAGGATCAATATCGATGAAGAAAATCTAGTTTTGCAATCTCTAGCAATATTTATGTACATAATATCTTAACCACACTCTAATTATATTTATGCTTATCCCACAATCAATACTTCGCATCCTACTGTTATAATAAAATAAGTAAATCATTCCCTCACGAATTCTTTACCAAATATCTCCATATTGATAATCGAAAGAACATCTATATCCTATTTATATTAACGAGGTAACCAACTATCATTACTTATTCAGCTATTCTAACAAAAATAGCCTTATCTATTGATATTGAAAATTTTCTATATCATGACCAATTCCATACGACTCGAATCACAGCATCAGAAGAATAAGAAAGTATAATAACGCCTTCATGATATTGTACTTATTCAATTTAATCTATTCTATTAAACTGATGCATTATTACTCTCATTTGACCGACTTGGCGCTGAATAGATGAAAATTATAACTACTTGTATTATAGTGTATAACAGATAAGGAAAAGAAATACTTGTAGATATAAATGATAAGCTGGTTTATCATGTTTACAAATACATTTCCATGATCAAGTATTAGACCAGTGAGTCAGCATATGACAGATAGGAATTCAAGGAATTATCGACAAAACATCACCTGTACAATTTTTCACATGCGTGGATTAAATACTATACAAAGAGTACGGGAATAACAGGATTGATAGCTTGGTTAAGCACTACTATTAGCTAATGGTATTTCAAGCAATAGATTGTCCCTAATCCGCTAAATAATGACTTACTTATTATAGTGAACATGAAAGAGACAATTGATGATACAACTGTAACTTGCTGCTAGGGCAATTAGTTAGCACAAGACATCAAAGCTACAATAGCTACCCATTCCACCATATGTAAAACAAGACAACATTGTTATTGACAGGTCGGGGATACAGAATAGATGCATGATTGTATATAAATAGCAAGTGAATTTGGTAACGTGATTGGTTAACGGTCATTTCAGTCCAATCGGTTAATGATTCATCAAAGTATTATTCTCATCCAAAAGGACACAATACAATTGCATAATGCCAACCTTAAGTAACAATTTAAAATTATAGTTTAGTTGAAATAAATGCATGAGTAAAATGTTAATCAGCCTATAAAAGACAATTCATTAGAATAATAATAATAACCAAATGTACTCCTTACAATACAGACTATATCGTAGGAAACCGTCATCATAATTCATTTTGTAGTTTTTTTAAAGAGGATTGTAATGACGCAGTTAATGCCGTCATCTAATTTTATACTCTCGACGTTTTCATAATTTCGAATAATACTATACTAGTAAGCTTTATCTGTAGTAGAGAAAAGATAAATCGAATTTTTAACCTCAACCTTGACATCGTTTGGAAATCGATTTATAGCATACAATTGGCTGAAACAGGAAAAACAAAATGATTTCACGGAACTTAAATTATAAGGTAACATAACAACTATTTCCATAATTTTCCAACCTTCCATTGCAGGATAACCGATGATATTATCTTTGTACAACCGTCAATCGATATGATGTATTTCCCCCTATTTATTTTTTACACTTATATTCCTATTATAAGTCAATGGAAATATCACTGATCATTTTAGCTTGATTCAGAGGCTTACTCATGTCGCTTTCTTGCTTTCAAGGTATGAGAATTAGTTGAAAAAAAAGAGTAAGCTGATTATAAATGGGAAAACAAGAACATGATATGATGGAATGCAGTGGCAGCCGAGATGAAGACAAGCAGTCGCCATTGTCACAGCCTCAACAACCTCATCGTAAAGAGAAAGAGCCTGACAAGGGACCAGATCATCTACGAACTGACATATTAACTGTTGGAAAGCATATGCGTCGATGGAAGATTGTAAGATTACATTAGAAATAGATTCAAGTCATGTTACTGTTCTCTTCCAGTAGTATTACTATCATCATGAATTGATGCAATTTGATGCTTTCTGCTTTAGTTGTAAAATTCATAACTTAGTTTAACCTTTACTACAGTTATATCATATAAGATGGCTACATGAAAACTTGAGTGACGATACATTAATTTAATATTATCGTCGACGACGATCAGTTAATTTCTATTTCCTCTTCTTCTATCGGTATCTTTCACTACGATCATCTACGAAATGGTTTGAATCAGGTTCGTAAAATTGGAAGTGGCGGTTTTGGTAAGTTTACAAACAAATCTAGAAGCTGTACAAACTGATGCTGATGTTGATTAGGAACGCTACATCAGCATTACACTGCTGAACGATGTTCTCCCCCAATTTTTTTTTCTTAATCTCTTTTGTCCACATACCGAATAGTAAAATCACTGTCTTGAAGATACTAAAAGCATAAAAATGAAGCAAATAGTCTGCCTTCTACATTAGTTACTTCGCCACTTTAACGCAATCAGAATACGTTCGTCCGGTGACAGAGTTGTACTTAGAAAATTCCTTATTCGGACATTTGATTTATCGTCTTTTATCGAAAGAATCTATCATTCATTACCCTAATATAGGCGCATTTATCAACTTTATAAAGTCTGTTAACAGACTTAATGAAGGTGTTATCTCTTATTTCTGAAGATCTTTTTTACTTGTGAAAGCATCACAGCAGCATAGACATTAACTGATGGAAAAGTAGGACATGTTTTCAAGTTTTATGACAGATGATACAGTTTGATTTAAAATCATTTCCTACCACCTCTAAATCGTCCTACCTTCTCAGCCTGATATCATAATTATGCTAAAGTACATTATATATCACGTTCTATTGTGTCTACTACAAAACTGTTGAACAATTTGAAATCTAATAATACCATCAAGAAGTAATTCAAATCATTTTTTCTGCTTAATAATGTTTATAATACACTATGATGGGATAGCATGCTGTTAAGATTATAAGACTATAATGTAAGGTTCTATATAGCATCATCATTATAAATATTCGGTTATTGGAGGTAGATGATAATTTGCCTATGACAGAAATCATCATTTAACTTTTAATTTTGTAACTTCCTTTACATTATCTAAAGATAACCAATCCGCTGAAATGATATCCAATTTTTCATAGTATAATTTTACATACATATATATGCTCGTACAGCAGTTAATTCAAGGTTATTAAAACGAAGAGAAAAGTCAGGATATCAATATTATGATTCAGCTATTGTCTCATACTAAGTAAATTCTTGTTCATCAGACGCCATCAATGATTGAAAAGAAATTTTTACAATATAACTCCCTTAGGCAGTTCTAGTAATTCATTCCATTGAGTTTCCATCACGTCTATAGCTACCCTTAAACTACTAAAAAGGAGTTGGGATTCATTTTAGACGTGGAAAATGGCCACGTCAAGAAACTCAAAGTGATAATTTGTATCACAATAGTAAACATTTTATTTACCAGTTAGAACGATTAATACTCTCGCTTACTTTGTAAATAATTCATTAATGTAATGGTTCAATCACATTGACCATACGTACTGTTATGCTAATGTTAGAAAGTAAACTCTCCTAACTGCCAAATATTGTGGTAGTGGTCAAATTGATCAGTACTAAAAAGGTACCCTCAACACTCAGTGATTAGCAACATTTAGGTACAACATTGAAAGCCACGGCCTAAGACCACATGAGCAGATGGTAATGACGATAATTACTTCTTTTTGCGCCAGTACCGGTACAGGAATTAGACTATAGGGAATAGAACATAAACAGGAAGGACTGTGATAAATTGACTATAATCAAGGATCTTGTGAGTTATTAGTGAGTCAAAAGCATTCTATAGGAAAGATTGATAGAGGAGATTCACAGGTTCAGAGTAATTATTAGATAATCCTAACAAGTAAGGTATCATTGCTAAAGTCTCATGGGTAATTGATCGGTTATCATCAATCATTCTATGTTAGCTACTGAATTAAAAGACAGTCTTTTTATCTAATACGGAAGTAAGATCCACCCTCTAGACAATATATAAATAGACATTATCCAAATATTGTTTATAACTGCAGTTATTAATCTCAGTGTTTTAAAATGCAGTAAAATAAAAATTCATATAGCAGACTAACATGCATTATTCTTGAAGATATTATACAGATAATTAAAGTCAGTTAAATTGATTATCTAGTAATGTTTAATATAGTCTTTAGTAAAACTAAAGATAAACAACTTATTTACAAGGAAAATGACAAGTGAAATGTTAAATATTATTTAATTAGAAATTACTGATATCTTTAAGCTCATTAATTAAAGATATGCATGAATAATTAATTAGTGAATGAATTACGAGGTACGTAGAATACATGCCAGTGAAGAGGAGAGAAAACTGTAAAATCACGCCAGATATTAATCTATAATTTTTCAATTGCTATATCGTCCTAGTTGCCAATTTAATATCTCCAAAGAGGTTATCATGGTCTTATTTTAGTCAACGCTATTCGATTACTACTTAATGTGTAAGAAGTATTGTAAGTACCATATTGAAGCTGTTGTCCAGCATGAAATACTAATTTATATCGATGAAATACTGTAGTGTACAAATCGAGTTTCTTTACTATAATTCTGTAGCAAGAATTACTTTAAGTGGTTTCTTTTTAACTCAACTATCGTATCATTTTAAATGGGCATACTTCGCGCAATTTAAAAGTAATTCTTAACAAGTTGATTCTACGATAAACAGATACAAATCAGAAGTAAAATAAAATTCTTGATTTCATTTCCCGATGTTAACCTTCTACCGGATCATTGATGAGATTTATTTTAGAATGATCATGAAGAAGAATTTAAAATCGTTTGAAAGTGTTATTTTACTCACACATACACAATCTATCGCATTATTGCCCGAACATTCAATAATTATCCTGACACCATGATCAGTACAAATTTGACAACCTATTCATAGGTCAAATGATATATATGAATATTCTATAAAGGAATAAGAGCAATTTAATTCATACTTATAAATATTCATTTTAATTAAGATGATAATATCATGCAGTAGTTTATTGTAATGAATAATTGCTTAGATGCCTACTTGTGTCGAATCGGATATGACTATTAACCATCAATGTAAATCATTGCGTAATTATAATTTTAACGTAAAAAACATTCGTTACGTCGCTATTTAAAATATCAAAAAACATTATGCCAAAAAATTATGACGATCGTGTTAAGATCAATATAAGAATAATATGATTACTCTGTCGATATAGGTCAAATTTATCAAGGATTGGATCTTGCAACAAATAAAGATGTAGCCATTAAAGTTGAATCGAAGCAATGCCCTAATCAGTTATTAAAGATGGAAGTTACTGTCCTCAACGCTGTGCAAGGTAATTTCTAGATAAAATTAATTATATTGTTGGTAATTTAGACTAAACAACTCAAAACGATCATGAAACATAAACGTATAAGATTATTGAAGATGCCATACAATTGTAGTGACAAGTCTTCGTTATACTGTATAGCTTCAATTCTAAGGCGTTTTTGACAATCGCTCAAGACAGTACAAGAGTATTAAGTTAACTTTGACCGTCAAGAAAATTGATAATTAAGATCTTCTAAATCTAGTACCGTTTCATCAGTGGTTAGCACCAACAAGTAGTTTTTATTATTTAGATTTTATTGCGATATTTCGTATTATTAAAATAATGCAAAAGCTACCACTAAACCATCGTATCATATCGAAAACTGTTGCCTCCATAAAACTTTCTTGTAGAACTGTCACTTTCACTAGTTTTTTTCATCCCGGTATTTTTCTTTACCATATCTAACCTTAAATCTTCTCATCAGGTAAAAAAATTGTAACAGAAATTGTACATAAAAACATGCTATCAACCTATACAATGCTTTAGTACTTTGAGTGCTAAATAAAATGAATACCATCACTAATTGAGTAATAATTGACATTATTAGGCAAAGATCATATATGCCAATATGTCGCTTGTGGTAAAACCAAAACTTTCAGTTTCCTTGTCATGTCATTACAAGGGAAAAACCTTGGTGAATTACGTAGAGAAGTACCTAGTGGAACACTTACTATCGAAACGATATTGCGAATCACCAGGCAAATTATTTTAAGTATTAAAACAGTACACAAAGCAGGTTTCCTTCATCGTGATATTAAGCCTGTAAGTAGAAAAAAATATTAAATTATCTATTTATGATGATGATGAATTAAGAAGAGGCCGTTCTCTTCATCTACCTTCAATTAGTCCAATTTTACCATTGGAAATACGCCGGAAACCAAGAAAACAGTATATATATTGGACTTTGGATTAGCTCGTCCATATACTAACGGTAAAGGAGAAGTAAGAAAAGCTCGTTCTAATGCCGGTTTCCGTGGAACAGCTCGCTATGCTTCGATTAATGCTCATCATTCCAAGGTAACTATGTTAGAATTCGATGACCTTCCATAAAGACAAAAGTCAATTGCTACATCTCTTCAGTCTTTTAGTTTTACGAAAGACTATCTCATCATTATACTGAAAGAGGGCTTAAAGCATTTTAAGTTATTAATGTCCTTGTAAATATACGTATGCTGTAATAGTAAATCCTATCTAAGAGCGTTAGAGTCATTTCATGATTGACAAAACTTGAAGGATCTATTATATTAACTATTATTATTAGCCAACTTGAAATATGTACGCGATGCAGTGAAATATTAACAAATATGGAGCTTTAACCTAAAACATTACAACGTATAATCAAAGGATTGTCCTATACAATTTGCTATCACGTTATAATAATTTTCTTAAAGCTTTGATCTTTTCCATTAGTTTGAGTAATAAACCTCATCACTCTGTTTCTAAGATGGTATTAGAAAATAAACGTTTATTTCTTTGTTTGCGTTAAAATATGAAATACTTATAAATATCAATGATCCTTTCTGTACAAGATTTTAGCACCATAAATATATCTTAATAGTTGTACCTACCCCACTTCGCTATTGAATAGAATCTAAAGCATAGAATTCAGATATATATGAAATTTAATTTATTTTATAGGAGTTGAGTAGGCGCGATGATCTGTGGTCTATGTTTTATATGATAGTGGAATTTAGGCTTGGAACTTTACCTTGGAAGAAAATAAAAAATAAGGTTTGATTGCAAATTTTAATTCATAATTATACAAAGAATTTGATGAATATCAAGAATTGTTAATCAATATGTATTGTGCTTTACAGGAAGAAATAGTCACAGTTAAAGAAAATTGTGATCCCAATGATTTTTTTAGATTTTTACCTCGAGAATTTGAACAAATTTATAATCACATCAAATCACTACAATATGAAGATGAACCTGACTATGATGTATGCTCTAACGGAAAGACAGTACACGTTAATATTTCTTTGATAATCTTAGGTTCTATAAAGCTATAAAATTAGGGATAATAACAATACGATGTTTTTAACTTTTACATTAGTTGCTGATCTCCTTAATTGATCAAAGCATTAAACGAAAAAATGTTGATCTTAATGCCCCATTTGATTGGGAAAGAATGAATGATACCCCAACAACGCGGCGCAAACGTGCCGCAAAGAACCACTCGGCAGATTCTACCCCATGGTAAGTACAGTATGCCCAGCAAGTATGGCGATCTGGGTATTCTATTCATATTCTCATTAATCTACAATATTTAACCTCTGTGTAGGTCACTCCATGTGTTTTCTTAGTTATGTGTTGCTCTATTTCAGATTTTAGTAATATCAATTGGATTAATAACACAAGTAATGTGTAAATATCTCTTTCTATCAGTTGTAGTGCTGTTGATGCTCGTCATAGTGTTGTGCAAGACGACTTGGGAAATGGAAAACATAATGAAAACTTCATCAATAAGCAATCCCCAGCCCCCAAATTACATTGGTAAGCACGAATAATCTATACACTACGTATACAGTAATATTCCTATAGAACGGCATCTATGTATGCGTAAACTATATTTATAATAATTACAGTCCATATATCGATCGTTTTTAATATTGCAAATAGAAGAATAAGATAATCTTAGCTATTTTAATCTAAATTTAATCTTTGTATTATTGACATGTGTACGACTCCTATCTTAAACTAATGCGTAAACCTAATTATTAATTATTTAATGTGGGTATGTATCATAATTCTTATCAATTTAGTAGTAAAACTGATGAAGAAAACATCAATGTTGAAGCCAAAGCTGAATCTTGCAAATCAATCAATAAGAAAGCGCAACACTCTGGTAATAAAGTACCCATTATAGCGATATTTCTACGAAAAATGCAGGAAGCTAATCAAGAGCATAAAAGTGAAAACCATGAATTATGCCAAGCATCTAAGTCTACTATTTCACTCCCTAATCACGCTAAATCATTAGATATTCAAGAATCGAAAAGTGAACGTATTCATACTAATGATAAAGGATGTAACAGTGATAATAATCCGTTAATACCTAGTCCGAAAGAAGGCGATCAAAGTAAAAATGATAATCAAGCCATTTTCAAAGGTACCGATAATTCGGCCAATGATAATGGTCGTGCCAGCCTTAATAACGGTCTTGCAATTCAAATCAATTCGGAAGAACTTGATCTAAATAAATCTTTGGGTATTGGTAATAGCTCGAAAACAGCACCAGCAAGCGCTTTACCTAGTTCTACAGATCATAAAGACGAAAGCTGGATATCGAGAAATATAGATTTAGATGATGATCGTTTCCAAAATACTAAGCAAATTGAACCTATCCATTCTAATTTTTTAAGCCCTGATGTTTCAAATGATGTAAGATGTAGTCGATCTTATAGCCAAAATGATATTCTGTCGGATCGAATTACTTCTACAAGAGATGATGATAGTATTCGAAGTTTAAATTTTGGGGTAAATGATGGCGTTCTGCTAGACAAGGTAAAAAGAAAACCTGTCCTTAGGGCTTCATCTTTTAATATTAAACCACCTCCTGGACGAGCTGAACATAATGTTGTTGGTGCAAGGTAAAAAGAATCAAAATACATTGCACAATTACAGATGTTATAAAATTGTTATCCAATCCCAACGAACGTACAAGTAAACTGTACTAGGATTACTAATTAAATGATGCTAAATTGGGTGTTTTCTCTGACATTTTGACAGGCGCCGGAGGTATAAATCTATGACAACATCCCCAGCTAGCAGCTCTTCATCATGACCATGTCAGTAATTTTTTATAATAAACCCTTATTTATATTTGATTCTTTATAAAATAAATTGGCCAAATCCGAATTTTATATCAATTGTCAAAATTGTTGTGTTATGACTACAGTTATCATTGTGCTCAGTAATATAAAATTTGACCGAACTTTATTAATTCTATGTTCGAATGACCATCACTCATTCTGTCTGCTTTCGTATAACAACAATCGATTAGATTGTCTAACATAGTTTTCCTTTTATAACTTTATCCGATTTGTTTTATTTGATTATGCCTCATTCTACGTAATAACGCTGACCATGATGCGATGGCTACTGTTTATAGAGGAATCTACGCATACCTTAACAAAAATGGAGAGTATGACTTAATCAAAACAGTCAATCTCTAGATAAATAGCCATCAGATAGCTATCATGATAAAATTATTTTCTAGCAAGATTACCTATACAACCACTATGAAGCATTTCTTACCATTTATACTCGCGAAATATTGAAATCAATAAAAGAAATTTATGTTTACACTTAATTACAGTAGAATCATGAGAAAGTTGTATCTTCTGTGATTGATAATCGTGGACGATCTATTGTACGGTAAATACGCAATTGTAATTTCTTAGCCTGAATCTATTTGTCGTTTTATTTGACAGGAACAAGAAACTGTGGCAGTAATACAGTAGTTTAATGTCATGATGATTACAGTATTGCCTATGTCTATGCCACACTACCATTCATAGATTAATTCACTCCGTTCGATCGAAATCAATTTTAAATTTAAATTTAAATTCGATTTTTGTATTAAGTAAGATTGTGGCATCTATCCACGGCGAATATTTTTTCAATGCAATAAAATATTGTTGGATTTAATATCTATTTCATCCACATTGATACTTATACCGTGTATATGTAAACCACCATCTTTACTAACTCGATAAAACTGAAGCAAAAATTGCTCACTTCTAGTACAATACATTCGTGGGCCAAACAAACCAGATATGTTATGATAATGTAGACATTAGGTGCAAATTAATTTTCAATTCTTTTTTTTATATTTTAACAGTATAAATCAGTAGAATGCACACGAATGTTGAGAAATGTTCGCTATAAGTAATTTGATACTTCTTTTAATTAATTGACACTATAGTACATGTTCTATACTCTATACTCTACAGTACTGTATATTGTATACGAGTATATCCTTATACAACACGAGTATTTCGTACTGATAACTGCGCTCAACAGGTAATTACTACATCACGCTTATTGCTAAAATATAATTCGGCATAAGGTCTAATATCATTCCTTCCATGGAGTAGAATAGCAAACACCCAAATGGCATGTACCGCAAAACAGGTAGACGCGTAGAGTCTTTAATTGAAGAAAACTTGAAAATATGCCTATAATACCTGGCACAAAATGTACCTGTACTATCCCCCCAGCTGAGAAAGACCAAAAATGTCTGAAAAATTGATGAAATAGTTGCGTAGTATGGATCTTCTGTATCTCTTTCTAAACCATTCTTACCAATTTAAAACATTTATGACATTATGCTGTGGAGCAGGATTTAGTAAAAGGAATAAAATTTAATGTAATATTATTACTTAATTTAGAAAAAATAAGTCATTACAAAATCGAGCATCGGTAGTGCAGAGTAACAACGCATACGAATGAGGTGTCCCTCCGTCCAGCCATACTTCGCTAATAGCATGAACGTTACTGAACTGGCCAAAAAATAGGACGGTCGACATTTTATAGTACAGTACAAGTGGTTCGACCGAGGAACTATAGTACTAAAAGCAGAGAGAAAGAGAGAGTTTCTTGCTTTCTTGTAAGTTATAATAATAGGAAAGTTGAGAGAGGGACTAGAAACGGGAATTTGGTGCAAAATAATGATGAGGCTGACTGTTTTTCTAGTCATTCTACTATACGCCATCACTGAAACTCAGTCAGACTCATCCGATTTCGAAGAGAGATATGGCATTTTTATAGACCTTCACCGTACATCACTGCACATGCGCAGTCAGTCAGACTCATCAGATTTCGGAGAGATGGCATTTTTATAGACCTTCACTATACAGTATGTTATACGCTGAAAAGTTGAGAGAGGGACTAGAAACGGGAATTTGATGCAAAATAATGATGAGGCTGACTGTTTTTTTAGTTATTCTACTATACGCCATCACTGAAACTCAGTCAGACTCATCCGATTTCGAAGAGAGATATGGCATTTTTATAGACCTTCAGTCCTTCACTGTACATCTTTGCACATGCGCAGTCAGTCAGACTCCACAGATTTCGGAGAGATGGCATTTTTATAGACCTTCACTATACAGTATGTTATACGCTGAAAAGTTGAGAGAGGGACTAGAAACGGGAATTTGATGCAAAATAATGATGAGGCTGACTGTTTTTTTAGTTATTCTACTATACGCCATCACTGAAACTCAGTCAGACTCATCCGATTTCGAAGAGAGATATGGCATTTTTATAGACCTTCACCGTACATCACTGCACATGCGCAGTCAGTCAGACTCCACAGATTTCGGAGAGATGGCATTTTTATAGACCTTCACTATACAGTATGTTATACGCTGAAAAGTTGAGAGAGGGACTAGAAACGGGAATTTGATGCAAAATAATGATGAGGCTGACTGTTTTTTTAGTTATTCTACTATACGCCATCACTGAAACTCAGTCAGACTCATCAGATTTCGAAGAGAGATATGGCATTTTTATAGACCTTCAGTCCTTCACTGTACATCTTTGCACATGCGCAGTCAGTCAGACTCCATAGATTTCGGAGAGATGGCATTTTTATAGACCTTCACTATACAGTATGTTATACAGTACGTTTTACCGTGCTGTCCATCACTGCACATGCGCAGCATACTCGCACAGCATACGCATACACCAGTCTATACTTTATAGTAAAGCATATGCGATAGAACACAACCATGTTGATCGTCAATTGCCCAGCATATACAGTACACTACAATACAGTACAGTGTACAGTATACAGTATATGCTATAAATACACTGCCCATTCGTCTACTGAACACTGAACAAATATAGACGTATACACTAGGTCGTACGTTATAGTAAATTATACAAGAGTTTAACTCATCTCCTTAGACCATACTGAACGAGAAACCGTCACTACTGGACGGAGAACTGCGACGCCAAGTGGATTTGCAGCTTTTACGCCATTTCTTGTTGAAAACAACACTATCAATTATAGAAAAGACTACTGGCGACGTCCATTAATCAATATGTCGTTAGCTAGGTTAGCCTTCGATAGAAGTAATTGAAAAGAATAAAAATTCCAACGATCTTACAGTATTTTCAATTCTATCGTAATTTACATCACAAGGAGACAGAACTTACTGCCATATTCTTTGATCAATGTACCGTAGCGTGAAAATAGATGGAAATCAGTGATATATAGCAGTATGTATAATTTAAATACGTTTCCTTTTTAGGCTATTACCGGCACCTACCCAATCTCGATCAATAGCAGAAGATGAGTCTGATCAGCCATTTCCGCATTCAGAGGTAAGATAATCATGATTATTTGCAGTTACTTCAGTGATAGAGACAGTAAGGATGTATCAAAAGTATGACCGGTTTGCATTTACTATTTGGTTTATCCAATCCTTCGTCAACATGGATCACCATACATCTACTATACTTGTATACCTGAATAGGCCAGTTTTTGCGTGTAACTGATTGATCAAGTTATGACTGTAATCCCCTTCTGCTAAAATATTATTAATACTAAGACTTCGTGGCATTTTTATCAGGTTATACGCACTCATTTTTATACCTTACCCAACGGATATTACCTTAGCAGTTGTAATGAATCAAATTTTGGACTATTGGGGTCACCCTTTCTTAGCTAATTAGAATTATGAATGCATAATGGTAGACATAAAATCTTGGATTGTGACATAATTATAGTGCAGTATTAACCATAACTAAAGTTAGTCAGATTTTCAGTATCAATCTTGCTAATTACTTCCTACACTCACCAAAATGGATATAAAGTGTTTGCCATGATAACCTTTGTCAGTGCTAGACATGTAAACCAATTTTGTTGATTGAAGCTAAAGATATTACCCACTTATTTACTTAATTATCAAACAGTTAGTCTCAAAGAAGAAATCAACCAAGGAACCGCCACCTTACGGCCATCGGAAAGGCTGGGTACCAAGATCTCTTGAGGTATTGATATACTTTTGTATCGTCTTCTTCTAAATCACTTATTAGCAAGCTATTGAGGTTTATCGCAGCCTTCAATGTGTAATGAACAATGGATTAAAGTATTAAAGGGCCACTACATAGTAATAACTTGATCACTATAAAGTGTGTAATGTTGGCACTACAATTCGTAGTGATTGAATACTGTAGTTGTTGGCGACACTGTAGATTTACGTATTGGAGTGCAGCTTGCCTTCTGGCAAATTAATAAAATTACTTTTTTTACAATCAAAGTATGTAATATGTGGAAGATGATGGTACAAAATAGTAATAGTCCCAGAGATACAGTAATTTTGTAAAGTAGCATATTCCAAAGGTATTACAAGTTGTGCAACTCATTTATGCGGTTTTACAAGCTTGCTGTAAATTATTTTAAATGCAATGACAACGATTTGTTATTAAAATTGGTTTAAACTTGTAAAAGTAGTCGTCCATCTCATTTCTTATAGACAGCTACATAGACATACTGTATCTGTTGCGAGCAGAATGGTTACGTCAGAGTCGTACTTCAATCCAGTAGTTATCAGATTTTATTCATAAACAGAGGTAATCTGGCATAGTGCGAAATAATCAACACAAGCTCCCGCATGCATACCCAACCGTTATCATATTTATAAGTATTGTATTCATAGTAAACATTTCAGGATACTTAAGCAAGAGCATATAAAGGGGTGCATCTACACCAGTTTTAAACTTTAATCGCAAAATATCACTTAAAAAGGGTTAAATGCTTATCAGCGTTAAAACTTTGTAATGCTAAATTTATATTTTATTCCTAATATCAACTACATATTCTTTTACCCCTAGGATTTCGGCAGCGGAGGAGCTTTTCCTGAAATTCATGTGGCGCAGTGAGTGCAGTGCGATTGATATATTTCGGAAATAAAAACAACTATTAGTATTGCTTTCGTTTTGCTTGTAACTAGTGTGGTACATCTGCTGTATGACAACTAGTACTGTATGTATACGTATATCGGAGTGACATTCTAGCGGCTAGGGTTATACGAATACAACAATTTACTGCTCATCGTTCTGAAAGTAACTTTATTCATATTCTATAGATGAAATATCAAATGAAATCAGTGTAATTTTCTGTTTCCATGAAATCTGACATCACTTTTTTAACAAACTCACTATGTATATTTGTTTGCTGGATTTTAGGTATCCTTTAAACATGGGACGCAAGAAGGTTAGACCAGGGCTTATATACATTACGATTTAAATTAATTATCGGAAAAAATACATTACTGCTGATAGTTACCTCGATGTACTATAATCTATACCAGGAATCTGAATAAATCACACAGATTTTTAACACAACGCCCTTTATACGATTACATATACGCATATACATATACTCTAGGCTACTGGGAACGCTTTAGCAATGCAAGTTGATGCCGAAGGTCGTGTCAAGTATGATTCAATTATCAAGCAAGGACAAAGTAAAGACAAGGTTGTCTTTTCAGAATTTCGCGATTTAATTCCATTACACTTAAAACAGGAAGATCCGTCTTTATCGATGCCAGATGAAGAAGAAATTGAAGAGGTAGTGCTAAATTTGCTAGTTATACATCATAAATATCAATTACTGCTTTGCATAAAATTAAGAGATTGATGAAGAGGGATTCATTATTTACTTTTCAAATATCTATTTACGTAGACGACTCAGAAAACACGAGAAGCATTGGAAAAGATCATACAGACCAAAGTTTCTGCAGCAATGCCTGCCAGGCCTGCTGAAAAACAGGCCCCTGCACAATACATTCGGTTAGTTGCCCTTCATAGATTTGCATAGATTTTTGTAATCATTGAGTATACTCGTACAGTAATAGGTGTCAGGACATTATAGTAGAATTAAAATGATAGTTCCTTCTAAATAAAAATGCATCTCATTCCATACTGACAGATACACACCTGCTCAGCAAGGACCTGCATATAATTCTGGCGCAAAACAAAGAGTAATTAGAATGGTAGAAATGCAGAAAGATCCTTTAGATCCGCCCAAATTTAAAACAAACAAAAAGATTCCACGAGGTCCTCCATCCCCTCCTGCACCTGTTATGCATTCACCGCCACGCAAGGTAACCGTTAAAGAGCAGCAAGAGTGGAAAATTCCGCCGTGTATATCCAACTGGAAAAATCCTAAGGTACGATACGCTGAGTTTTTACAGCTTCATTCGCGTTGAAAGTGAAGCTTCACCTACGTTCGTAAATACAAAATGTACAAATATTTTCTGTATACCCTATCCAATAATATAGGGCTACACAATACCTTTGGACAAACGACTTGCAGCGGATGGTCGAGGTGCTCAAGAAGTCAAAATTAACGAAAATTTCTCTAAACTGGCGGATGCCTTATATATAGCTGACAGAAAAGCACGTGAATCTGTTGAACTTCGCGCCCAAATGGAAAAGAAATTAGCCCAGAAAGAAAAGGAAAGAAAAGAAGAAAGTTTAAGACTTCTAGCTCAGAAAGCACGTGAAGAACGAATTGGCTTGCGAACCCAAGATTCTGGTAGAATTATTACTGATATCTGTAAAGCTATTATAATTTTCTTACAACGTACAAATGTATTAATCTTTGCCATAGACTTTAGCGAGGATGCCCGAGAACGTGATCAGTTACGACACGACAGACACAAAGAACGTGAGCGAGATAGGAGAATTGCAAGAGCTGCTCCTGATAAACGTTCAAAATTAGAAAGGCAACGTGATCGAGATATTAGTGAGAAAATTGCTCTTGGAATGCCCGCCAATGTAAAATCTGACGAAGGAATGTACGATCAGCGACTCTTTAACCAAGCAGAAGTACGGATAATATTACCCTTTGTATAATTATCTTTTGACCATACTTTATATCTTTCGACATGGACAAATTGATAACTTTCTAAACTGCTTTTCAAAGGGTGTTGGCTCTGGTTTTGCGGAAGATGATGCTTACAATGTGTATGATAAACCCTGGAAGAAAACTTCCGCGTCATCAATTTATAGACCGTCTAAAAATTTGGATAAAGACATATATGGTGATGACCTGGATTCACTGGTCAAGACGAAACGGTTGATATTGCTGTTTATCGTTGATAATTTTTTTAATATATCAGTATATACTTATTGACTAATAACTAAATTCCCTAACATATTTGACTTTAAACGTTAACCTGATAATTATACTGTTTTAGGTTTGCCGCTGATACTGAATTCCAAGGTACAGATCATAATCTACAACGTGATGGTCCAGTTCAATTTGAAAAGGATGAAGATGATCCATTTGGTCTTGACAAGTTCTTGACTGAAGCTAAACAGTCTAAAAGACCCACCGAAGACTCGAAAGACAGTAGGAGTAAAAAGAGCAAAAACTAGCTTACATTTTCTTAGAATGCTCAATTTTTATATATATATATATATATGTAATTGATGTAGTCCATCAATCCTTGTATTTATCGTGCTTTTGATTCAGGAATACCTGTATGAAATTTCTTAAATACAACAATATTAGATCCGATCTGTAAACAAGAATATACGCATTAAAAATCTTACGAAGACAATATTACGAGAGCGTAGTGTTTGTGTGTTTAACTTATTGAAAGTTATGAAGATAGCCCTTTGCACTTGATTACGAATACGGCCCATTATTAAGGGATATCCTCACAGTATGAATGATTGTTTATCTACAATTCTTTTAGTATGAGAGCTTTAAGTTACTATAAAGTGTATTACGATCGTTGTCGGCAATTCCTCATGTACAGTACATGTAGACTTGATGTAGTATACAGTAATTACTTGATTGATTAATGCTTACGAGAATACACCAATTAAAATGTAACACTACCAATTTATTTAAGACTGGTATGAAGTTATAATAGGCTTGGATAATGTCTGTGTTAATCTATCTGGTTAATTATAGGTTCGCTAGATATTGCAGATAGTGCATAATTTTCATACGTTATTCTGAAAAATTCTTATGTGATATCTACACGGTACTGTAAATACAACCACGATGTTACTACGAACTGAATACTTTATGCTAGGCCTGAGGCTAAAAGATGCACCAGTATGGAATCAAAAATAAGCTAGACGCTTTGTTAAATGATTTCCTTTTGATAGACAGTGTTGCAATCGAACATACTCGTATACTGTACTGTAATTAGTCCATATTAAATTCGATGATGTAGCAGTGTTTACAAAGAACGTAACGAACATCAATTTTTAGCTCAAAAATTAATACGGAGTGTAATTACTATACTTTTACTGATTATACTGTAGTGGAGAAAATACATTGCAACGATAATCGATCTGTACAGTATTGTGGTCCTATTTCGTTTCCGAATACCTTTAGATCTTATACGCTGTGCTATGTAATCACTAACGGTATCTGCAATTTAGGATTTATTATGGCATATGCATGCGAAATAATATTAATTCTTTTAATATCATTGCATAAAGTATAAATCGTAAAATTTAAACACGCGTAAAAACTAATTTCAGATGCTAGCACATTAAAAGCCATAGTTGTTTAATACAAATTTTTTGTTACTCTTTGATTTTCATGTAGCTTCCATATACAATTTTGCAACTAGTCATAGAACGCGTGAGTGGAAATACTGTATATTACATTATTTCAATTATACGAAACGTCGTATATTGTAAGGTGAATGCTAAGCCATGTTAAGTTTAAATAGATAGTTTTTAAACATAACTGTATAAATATAGGCTATAGAAGCATTCACATATTCCCCAAAAAGCACATAAATTAAATTTGTTTCTCTTCATCAGCAAGACCAGATTTCTGCGCTGGCTCCGAGGGCTGTGTCAAAACTTCCTTTACGAGTGCCTAAATCAACATATACTGTGTTATTAGGTATCTATATTACACATTTATTACGATAAGTTTAAATGAATGTATGCCGTACAATTAACTGTCATAATAACATCATAATTACCTCTGTTCCGTCAATCACATGGGGTTGCTCCGTTAGCGCTTGCTGTAAGGATGATCTTGAACGAAATTCAACAAATCCGTAACGTCTCGATCTTCCAGTATCTCTATCCTATGGTATATGATTGAAAATACGTATTAGCATACGATAAGGTAGCACAATGAACGATTCAGACATGAGAGAATACGCTGTATTTACTACAGCGAGATTGTTAAACAGTAGTCTCACTCGCAAATCGCATATCTTGAAAGTACGCGTGCATTATATCGTATTCTATACGAGGTATAGAATGCAAGATATTACAGTACGATGGATACTAGGTATGCAAGGTATTTAATACAGAATTAAATTATGGTATAAGCATATTTGTAGATACTTTTAAAAGTATCTAAAGTTATTGCAAGAGCCTTTAATTTTATGTACACTACATAGAATAATAAGCCCTATGTATGTTATTTAAACCAATCCATACTTACGTATACAATTGATGCCCGGGTAATAATGCCGTATTTGCTAAAATATTGCCTAAGGATTTCTAATCATATTGTAATGATGAAAAGGGATTGGTTAGAAAGTTTATACAGCTAAGATCGTTCGCAAGCTTTACTATATAAGGATTAAAACTGTTCACCAATTTGATATTCCCAACAATACTACCAGGTCTAGAAGCCTGCTAATACACTTGTACTGTAACTGAACATGTCGATGTTGGTAACAAACAACTTTAGTAGGTAAAAGACTGCTAAAGCTGTTGTACTTTCGAATGTTAATGACCAATGCAGCTACACATGAAGTTCAATCTCACTAGACAGTATCGATGATGAAGACTTGATATATCCAATATATTCTACGTTCTATGATTATATCCTGTACTTGACATTGATCTATAACATCTATACAGTACTTTGATATTGTAATGATATGGTATGCATGTTGCAGCAGGATAATTGTCAGACAGACCACCAATGCACAATTGCACATGGCATATCACTGCACACTGCAGCCTAAAGTGCGCCTGATTTATTACACACATTGAGCGCTATTACCACTTGTAGAATCAATCCCTGTTTATGTATACCTGGAGATGTAAACCATGGCAAACGGGCAACAAATAGAGATCGTGCTTTATCAACATAGGAGGCAAACATGGCTATGCTTTCAAAGTTGGAATAGGGAAAAGAAAAAAGATTTTCCTTTTTAGCGAGAGTTATATAATGTTAAATGTTCAATGTTATTTCAGTATGGATTATTACTGCCGTCAGTATACTGTAGTGTCAAATGAAACGATCCACATGGTTCTCTTTGAAATCATGGCTGGTACTGTACTTAATGTACTGTAAGTGTACCCATGTCGGCAATGTAGTATTCAATGTCAAATAACTCCTGATACTGTAGGTAGTTATCCAAGGTGCACTTTCATACTGTCTATTCGTGTTTTACAACAAGCAGTCAGTGTGTCACCCCTCGTTCAAAACTAGAACTCTTTTCTATCATGTTTTCCTATACACTTGTTGAAGAAGAGACGGTTAAATGATGACTATCTATTTTGCATAATACGATACCCTAAGAGTGTCCAGCAGCTACAGTACTTAGTACAGTAAAAGTGCCCAGACGAAAGGGTCTCCTACAGTGTATTGTACTGTGTGTGTTACAGTACAATATATTGTATGTACTGGTAGTCTTTCCTTCATGCTACAGTATTTTCCTGGCGTGCATTAGCCTACAGTACTGTAGAGCTGCAGCAGGTTTGCAGGTTGCCTGCAGTTATTGCCTGCTTTTGCTTCTCAGCTATCGTGGCAAGTCTAATTGATGTCTCTTCATCTTCAATTTTGTCTCATGCCAACATAAAAAAATCTATTTGACAAGGTGTGTATGTTTACCCAATCCATATTATTGACACCGAAATTAAATCCAATTGCATTGAATCTTCACAGGTACTGTATCATTTGTTTGGAGCAGTCAGTATGCTCGCATTGACTTCAAGCTCGTTGACCATCTTCCTATTCCCTAACAGTATTTTCTTGTCATAGACAGTAATCAATAAATTTGTTACAATTAAACAGTGTAATAATATAGCTTAGCTGACATGATGCACAGCCATCAAGTGCTTTAGCATAGCCCATAGTCATGCAGTAGATATACTGTACTAGTTATTTCTTATCTTAGAATTTAGTTAAAAATCGACATACTGTACAGTAATGCATTGCTATCGCTTTGGCGTAATCTTACGAGTATATTGTTATTATTATTATCATTGCTATGCCTTTAATTTGTATATTAGTGATTGATCGAAAGAATAAATTAAAGACGATATCAAGATCATTTCCTGGTTTTAATATGTATATAAATATATATATATATATATTGCATTAGTTTATTTAGAACGATATGGCGTCCAAAAAATTAGTCCAATTGCATAAAATGTATATCAAGGCTGGGAAGGCTTCACCATCACCGCCACTCGGACCAGCCCTTGGACAGGTAAATGACAAAGCTATAACATGGAGAAGTACTGTACTGTATTTCGTTTTATTACAGTTTAAGTCTACTCAAAGAATCTGTTGCCGGTTAGATCCATTTATACAATCATATCATCTTCTATTAATGCCTATTACTTTTAATTTGTATTCACACTAGCGTGGCTTAAATATTGGAAAGTTTTGTAAAGAATTTAATGATAAAACCGCCAATATGGAAGAAGGCATCCCCATTCCAACCAAAATTTTTATTTATGTAAGTTATACCTTTATAGACTGAATTGAATATACTTTAAAGTATAATCCAAATCATATAAAATTGGTAGTCAACTTCTATCCTAACAATTCCATCTTCTTCTGTAATATTTGCTTTTATCTATTTCATTACTATACTGAGTATCCTTAAACTGTTCTCATAGGCTGATCGATCATATAAATTCTCGACCTCCGCACCTCCTGCTTCGTATTTTTTAAAAGCAGCAGCTGGTATTGAAAAAGGAAGCGCGCACCAAGGTTAACAATACTACAATTGATATCACATAGCCATATAGTTATCGCAAATATCGAGTTAGATGCTGTATATGTCGTCACTAAATCGAACATACATACTATCTTTCATTCAGGTAAAGAAGTTGCTGGCGTTGTCACCTTAAAGCATATTTACGAAATTGCCAAAGTTAAACACAACGATGAGCAGTTTCGTAACATGACATTGGAACATGTATGTAAAGCTATAATGGGTAGCGCAAAAAGTATTGGAATCAAGGTTGTCAGAGAATAATCTACGAATGAATAAGTGTAAAACTACCATATACTGTAATCCCGCTCTTGGAGTATTTTTTAAAAATTATGATACTGTATCTAGCCATTTATGTAATATTTTATCTGAAAATGGAAGCGTACATCACGAAAAAGTTTGTGCTGTACTATATCGCAAGGATTCTAGATGGTAATCATATGTTGCAGTACTAAAGAAATATACTTTGTTACCAATTGTCTTATATTGCCAATTTGTATGCGCTCATCATAAATTATCCATGTATTTGCAGTCCATGTTATTGATAAAAATGATCATTAATATACTTAAATGAAGATGAGACAAGAATATATTATTGACTTGGATTGCAAATGTCATACATGAAGTTAGAAACAATACGAAATCATCAGTACAATCATACTTGTATGTAATTCTACAGTACTGTCGCGGCTTTATCTGTACACTTTGGCGTAGTTGTTTGCCCTAAATGCCCAGTCTGCTATCCAAGATGAAATATTTCCGAAATATCAACAACGTGAATATGATAGATAATTCAATAACCCTGCAGGCATTTACTGCCATGCAGAATACATATTAATTGACATTCATCATTATCACAAGCATCGCATTAAATCCTTTCAAGTTCGTAAAGAAATTTAATAAAAATTTATTGCTATTACATTAAATTTGCAAACATGCGTGCATACTTTTAAACACCTAGTAAAGGCATTACACAGGATAATTTACATTACAAACATATTAATGTTATGTACATAATAAAGATCATAAGCTACAAATCACACACATGCTTAGCAAAGATGCTCCTTTACCAAGTTAGCCGTTGAAATTTTAATGATATCAACTGTTAGATATCATGACTTTCAACAAAAAGTTATCGTCTGTGCCAACCGAATAAAATTTTATTCCGTTACTTGACGAGATTTTGGCATCTTAGCTCTTTCTTTTGCAGTATCTCTCCTAGTTTTCCTTTTTAGATATTTATCTAATTTTCTTTGCTTTTTTAGTGTATCATGTTTTTGCTCTACAAACATTTGTTTTTTCATTGCTAAATAAACAGATCGATCAAAATTAGGATTACAACGTTAATAGAGACAAAAGCAATATCACTACGTCATGATCATAATAAAATTGAAGGACCTACAATTTTACTGCACTTACATCTCTTTAAATAAAAAGGCTTCTTTCCCTTTTCGATAAGTTCAATTTCTTTCTTACGATGCTGCTTGATAATCTCTTGCTTCTGTTTTCTTTCCGTAATATGTTGTTGTTGTTGATTCTAACGAAAGAAATCAAACATGAAAAGTCTGGTGATCTAAAAACCAGAGTTAAACAGCCTTTAGACTCACAAGTCTTTCCAAAGCAGCTGATATCTCTGCTTTACGAGATTTATCTTTCGTTTTATGCAATTGCTTGATTAACATCTAGGCAGAAAACGAACGCAGCGATTACAAAGCTAACGCTTTACATTGATCGATTAGGACAGTGTATCCCAGCGAACTATAAAATTTCGCCTTAATGAATAAACAAGTTAACCTGCTCTTCATTTGTTTTCAATTCCTTGATAAATCCGAAGGATTTCTCAAATAAGTCCTCGTTTAATGTGCCACTCTTTCTAGTGAATCTGGGATCTTTCGGTTTCTAAATTTGTGTATCCCGTTAATTGATCATAAAGTATTGATTAGTTTATTAGGCCAATGCATGATAATGCAACTCACAATAGGATTCATGTTCCTTCTAATGACTTCAATAACCGACGTGAGAATTACTTTTTTAACTAGACTGTAATTACCAAAATATATGTACGATTTCATAAATATTATTATAAACTATGCTATGCGGCAGACTACTTACGGATTTTTTGGTTTGATGAATTTGTCTTAAAACTGAAACTGGTTTCTTGGATGAGAATTCTTGAGGTCTAGTATTAACAATGGAAAAAATTGAGGTCTAGTATTATCTATCCTTGAAGATGTTTTAAGGATAATCAAACTGATGGCACTGGTTTTTACGCATCTATCATTTTGAAAATACTGCATGATCGCTACAGCTTGCTGAAGTCTATGATCAAGTTTCAATCAAAAGATACCTATATTTAGTATTATTGTCCGTCAGTTTATTTCCTTTTTTGCCTTCGGTATTGCGGATGGCCTGGTTATACCTGTAGTTATCAGTTACAAGTATAAGATGGAAAATATGGCAAGTTTATATTTGGTGTTCTCCTTAAAAATGTATCATTTACAGTAATTTATTGTGCACTTGGCCTCACACAAAATACCAAATTAAGCTGATCAATAAAAGTATATTAGCCATGCTTTCATCATTCTGTAAGCTAGTTCACTTTTCATACCTCTTATAAACTATAGTAAGATACTAGTGTCTATGCATACTATACTAACAAATCAACTTAATCACGTCTTCAAACTGTGACACAACTGAAACTACCAAAAGATGTAAGATGGTCAGGTGTTAGCAACTTGAACGCTAGACGCACCTCTTAATACCAACTTGATCACGAAGTTTTTGCAGGTCTGCAAAGGGTATATCGGTTAAATCTAAAATAGAATAACATATACAGAATATATAAATAAACTTTATTCAGACCCATTGGTGTGACAAGAATTACTTTTAGTCCATGAAAACTACTCTACACAAGGTAAGCATGCGTATAGTGCAAACTACAGTATATTACTGCTATATCTATTTCGTTTGAGGTCCAACTCTACTTCTTCCATGTGGATTGTCTGGCCTATGATATTTTTGCTACCCTATCATGGGAATCTATCTCACTTTCTGTTTTGCTACTACGAATCGGTGTTGGATTGATATTTGAGCATTTACATGTAACATAAACTGATCAGTTATACACGTAACATGTCTATGTTGCCTAATACTGCAGACTTCCAGTAGCTGTAAGGCACTCTATGATGCTATCGATTCTGTAAGTATAGTTATATATTAAATAGTCCATGGACTGCAAGTCCATTAAGTAATAAGGAAGAATAGTAGTGACTGAAACGCACAGTACTGTAGATGTTGCATGTATTATTCTCTAACACTTGCCATGGATTACTGTATACCTATAGCGAATAGGCCAAACAGGCCATCATTCATTGACTTAAGGATCACTGAACTATCGGTTGCACATTCATTGATTGCAACTTGAATGTAGGACTCATTTGCAGACTACACGTAATATGTTTATGTTGCCTAATACTGCAGACTTCCAGTAGCTGTAAGACACTCTATGATGCTATCGATTCTGTAAGTATAGTTATATATTAAATAGTCCATGGACTGCAAGTCCATTGAGTAATAAGGAAGAATAGTAGTGGCTGAAACGCACAGTACTGTAGATGTTGCATTTATTATTCTCTAACACTTGTCATGGATTACTGTATACCTATAGCGAATAGGCCAAACAGGCCATCCTTCATGAACTAAAGGATCGAATAGACTGACTGAGCTATCGGTTGCACATTCATTGATTGCAACTTGCATGTAGGACTCGTTTGCAGACTATACGTAATATATTTATGTTGCCTAATACTGCAGACTTCCAGTAGCTGTAAGACACTCTATGATGCTATCGATCCCGTAAGTATAGTTATATATTAAATAGTCCATGGACTAATAAGGAAGAATAGTAGTGGCTGAAACGCACAGTACTGTAGATGTTGCATTTATTATTCTCTAACACTTGTCATGGATTACTGTATACCTATAGCGAATAGGCCAAACAGGCCATCCTTCATGAACTAAAGGATCGAATAGACTGACTGAACTATCGGTTGCACATTCATTGATTGCAACTTGCATGTAGGACTCCTTTGCAGACTGCATACAGCACATTGCTTAGACAGTTGCTACTGATGGCTGCTCTACTGAGAGAATAATTGCATACAATAGTCAAATAGATGAAATGTTATGGCAAAAGCATGATCTATCGCCCAGTAACCTATGACACACGTTGTAGGTAAGCAATATCCAACTGAAAGTAAGGTTAAAGTACAGTAAATTGGTGGCCATCTTACCTTCTTCATCCATTCCTCGATGTTGTTGCTTTCGGTGGAGTATAGACTGTTCACTATGGTACTGTACCGTACCGTACACTGACGCTTGTACTATAGTCCTACAGTACAATACGGTACTGTAGGTGTGTACTGTACACTGTACAGAATAGTACTGGAAAGTAGAGTGCCGTCTTTCTGGCAATCCGTGCCTATGAGAAGGCGAGAGGCCATCGACTACTACTTAAAGTTGGAGAAATTTTGACCAGTTTTCTATTTCTAGTAGTAACTGATGGTTTAGACAATACGGTAGACGCTTTCACTAGTCCAATACAGTATATTGGTGAGTGAGTAAAACTACTCCAGTGAAATAATAAGATTCTACTTCTTTGTCAACATCGACATACGGACAAGTCGAAAAAAAAGAATCGGCCTGCCTCTTTTTCCCATACTCATTCCCCACCCCATCCAGTTTGCTACCGGGTCTTCCATACTGGACTCTAGTGGGCAAGTTAGCTGTCTGTCTGTCTATCTGATGGGTACACCCACCCTCTAGCTTGTGACTGGCATCGTCGACGCATGTCGTACTAAATCAATAGGTAGGGACCAGCTGGGCCAGTCCAGTCCATTTCAGCCAATCAGCCGCGTCAAGACGACCGTCCTCGTTCCCCTTGCTTGAGTAACTACGGTAGAGAGAGAGAGAGAGAGAGTCGGGAGGAGACAGCAGACATATTCGGTAGCCAAGAGGGAGCCGAAGAGATTGGCGTAAACTGGAGTTAATCTTGTCCAGCATTTGTAGTGGAAAATTTCATTAATCGAATCGAGTAGAAGTGAGTTGGTTGGAAAGGGAAATTGCTTGACTTGTTGGCCATCGAAATCAACGTCTTACTTGATAGTTCGTTATTGGACGCTTATCGATCGAGTGGGAGACGAGGTAAGGTGGTGTAGTAGTCATTCTTACTTGGAACGAGAGGAATATTGCCCATTGCAAAGGGATTTTACTTGACGACACGCGTACAAGGGAGAAAAGAAGAAAATCCACTTACTAATTGCAGTATGCCAGAAGGCTTAGACGAAATGACCAACGAAGAAATCGTTGCTGATACCAAGAATGTGGTTCGAAGTCTAGAAACGCTGTTTAATCAACACTCGGATGTTTTAACCTCACTCACTATCATTAAGGATGATCATCAACAACAGCATCATGATGAAGATCGTATTCGTGTTTTACATAAATCGATCGAAAGTATCCAACTTGGCATAGGAGAAGCACAAGTAAGTCTTAATGTAAAATAATCGTCTACAGTTGAAATCACATTATCTTACTTATTCAGTCAAGGCCATCAACTCATTTTCATATGCAAATATTATTCAATGGATCGGCATGGATGAAAAACGGTATACAATAACCGAGTTGCTGTAGTACAGCACGGGGGGACAAACGTCGATCCTTGCAAAAGTCATGGGCAATAACGATCGCAAACTCAATTACTATCGTATGTTGATAGGAAGGATTACTTGTTGACGCTTGACCAAATCACATCAATGGCCGAATATGCTTGTAAATCCAAACTTTTCTATACATTATTCAACGAGTGTGTAAACATACACGATGGATGATTTGACCTGTTTCCTAAACGCCATATTTCTATACACACCAAGACAAAGATTACATAATGTGATGATGAGTAATTGCTTACTGTAGAAATTATCTTACAATAGCAAATGACTAAAGCGATCATGATATCCTATCTTTTATTCATTAATTAAAAATTTGCTTCATTTTATCGTCAGCTTTTCCCCTCAATACCAATTACAGCTACTTAAATAGAAATCGCAAACGAATTCTAAAAACATTCCATGTCATACCGATGTTACCACTCTATTCCATGGTATACGCATACTGTACCGAATGACCATTTCCATGTCAGAAAGTTATGAAAGAAACCCAGCGTTGCAATGGCTTAGTAAATCCCATCATTTTCAAGTAGTAAAGACCTTACTCAGATCTGGCTATCCATAGCAATATACCCTCATAGTCATACAGTTACTGCAGTAGAAAAATGACACATGTTTATGCAAGAAATGTGCTAGTTCAACAACTTACTAAGCCATCATTCAACTGCAGCGTTAAAGACCTTACTGGCCATCTAAATTTCATATCAATACGTACTCTGATGATATTTATACTGATACAGTTACTGTTGTAGAAAAATGACACTTTATTTTTTCCAATAACAGGCCTGCTGTATTAACGAACGATACCATTGCAAAGCATTATTGAACTCATACTACTGATCTCACAGTCAATAAAAATTCAACTATACTACAATACGTTATAATCAAGTCCCTTTTGAGCCATCTGCCTTAGGCTACTTCGATCTAAAAAAAACCCCTACAACAATTCACATCTTTGCAGTAGCAAAATAGATTCCAAGAAACAATATTGTACAATACTGTGAAGAGCTTTTTTAGCAACGCTATGTTACCAGCACATTGTTGAGCTGAAAAAAATCAAGATATAGCCTATGGATAATTGAACGCTAATGTACATCATCATCATTCCAATGCTGCCTAATGATTAAAAAATGATTGATTGACTTCGTTCCATAGGTTATTATTTCTCTGACCAACTACTTAAATGCGGTCGAAGCAGAAAAGCAAAAATTACGTGCTCAGGTCAAGCGACTATGTCAAGAAAATGCTTGGCTTCGAGATGAATTAGCTTTAACGCAACAAAAATTGCTTTCCAGTGAAGAAAGTGTTGCCCAGCTAGAAGAAGAAAAAGAGCACTTAGAATTTATGAGTTCCGTCAAAAACTATGAATCATCCGAGGTAAATGATTGTGATACAGTCGATGAAATGAAAAAACCATTCATTGAGAAATAGAAACGACTGTACCCAATAACAGTATAGACGTAATCGACAGCAGAATAGCCATAATAAAAGAAATAGTCATAGTAATACTGTCCAACTCTCACTCATGTAAAAAATTCGTATTGTTCTAGCTTACATTAAAGCTGTCATAGTTGTAATTACTTCAGGCTAATTAATATTATGATCATCTATCTTTTTCGATAACCTATTCTTTAATAAGCTAAAGGCATTTAAATCTGTTATATTCAATTTACTCTTTTACACCAATATTGGCTAGCATGAAATGCTGCTTTGATATTTAACTATTTACTAATTTTTTAACCAATCTTTTATTTAGGATAAAGACATTTTAATCGAGGTTGGTTAGGCTACAGAATATCCATCATTGCCATAGCTCTAATTGTCAAATAGGATTAAGAGTAAAATTTTTCACTTCGTCTTAACTACTGTTAACAATCGAATACTTTCGTAGTACAGGAAAAGATTTTATACAATACTATGCATATTTACTTGTTAACCATGGACATTGAAAACTTCGTCAAAATTAAAAATACCTTTTGCGATTCCTTTTCTTTTACACATTGTTACATTATTATCAAGTATTACTTTGTCATATTTTAACAGGAAGAATCCAGTACTAGGCAAAGTACACCAACAGAACAGCAAAGTACAGGTTAGCTTCTACGCATTACTAGCATGGTAGCAATCAATACAGTACAGCTAAATATCTTCTTGTAAAGTATTTATGTAACGTATGCTACCGTCTCTTCAACTTTTGTGAACTGAAATGCTTCGTTTAAATTAAAACTTATCTGTACTAGTCTTCAAAATGTATACCTTCTTTGATGATCCAGTATACTCAATCAATATAATCACTGTTTGGTATGACATTTTATTACAGTTAGCGAAAGTTCAGTTGACATGAATACAGCTTATGAAATTCCTAATCGATTGAAGACATTACATAATCTGGTGTTACAATACACTGCTCAGGTATATCGATAGCGTAGCAGTTCTTAATAATTTAAATCGATTGAAAAGTTAACCGCGGCTGTAATTAAAGTAGCTTTTTAACTAATACCATATGTGTAGTATATAATGACATGTTATTAAAAATAATAATATTGTTTATACAAATCAATATCAAGGGTCGCTACGAAGTGGCAATACCACTATGCAAGCAAACATTGGAGGATCTTGAAAAAACATCCGGCCACGATCATCCTGATGTTGCAACATTGTTGAACATCCTTGCTCTAGTCTATCGGTAATTTAATGCAGTTTTTGTAACACTCTTCAAAGAAACTACTGTAGCAACGCCAATATTTAGAAGCTGTTGGTTTAATGAAATTATCAACTATTATCCATTCAGAAAGACATTTTATATTCACAACTATCATCTTTACTTAACAATACTGTACAGTACCATATTAATTTCATAAAATACAATCAATAGGGATCAGCATAAATATGATGAAGCGAGTGAATTATTGGAAGATTCACTGCGTATTCGTGAGAAAACATTAGGCGCAGATCATCCAGCGGTGAGTTATTTTTTTCATTGACATTGCTAAAAGCCTCATAAATTGTAATTAACTATACGTATTGACATAACTGTTGCTTGGTACGAATTGTAGGTTGCCGTAACGTTGAACAATTTAGCCGTCCTATATGGAAAGTTAGGAAAATATAAGGGAGCAGAACAGCTATGTAAGAGGGCTCTTGAAATTAGAGAAAAGGTATTCATATCATGTTGTATTCTTGTTGAACGTACTAAAGACGTAATATCATAAATTACCATGATTATTACAATGGCTATTCTTCCATTAGGTCCTTGGGATGAATCATCCTGATGTCGCAAAGCAATTGAACAATCTTGCTTTAATATGCCAAAATCTTGGGAAATATGATGAGGTAAACCTAACCGCTATCGAAATAACCGATCTCTACACGATTAACTAGTACAGTATTTATACACTATGTAGTCCTAGCATTCACCCGATTATGACTAATTGCTAAGTGACATCATATAATACCTAGGTTGAATGGTACTACAAGAGGGCACTAGAGATATATCAAAAGCAACTAGGCCCTGATGATCCAAATGTAGCTAAGACAAAAAATAACTTGGTAAGACAAGGCAAAATTTTTACTTATTAAAACTGTGGTATAAATTAATAATGATTGCAAATACTTATGCAGGCTTCTAGTTATCTTAAACAAGGAAAATACAAAGCGGCTGAAATGCTTTATAAGCAGGTTTGTATTAACTCCGCTAAAATTGGGAAATTCATCAATATCTTACGATGCAATTTTTCAACATAGGTGTTAACTAGAGCTCAGGAAAGAGAATTTGGAACCGGAGACAGAGAAGGTACGCATAGTAATAAAGAAAATAATGATTCCTAAATTCTAAAGCTATTCAACCTTTCCATGGTTTATTGTAAACATTGCCAGCTATTTGCACTGATGTAATCGCTTCACGCTTTTCTTATTACTTCAAATTTTTACTGCACGAACTGCTATAATGCTAAGCACTATATTTTTTGCTTCACAGACTGTTAAGTATGCTTAATTTTAGCAATCATCCTACAAATTTTTACGATTTTCAATAGTCAAATTACAAAATTAATGTTGCATCATACTAAAATAGCGTATTACAGGTATTGCTATCAGCACACAAGATCGCATACATTTAATTGCTAATCATGCTTGCTTTAGTAACAAAGGCTTAAAAAGTTACTAGGCGCTACATTTATAGCAACCAATCAGTGGCTACCCCTAAAAGGCTTGAAACTGTTATGCTTTGCTCTGACTGGTAGTTCCAAATAGTTGCTCAAAGATGTACTATTAAGCGCGTGCACAGTCAATATTTTATTAACAACTTATGATAATATCTTAACAGATTTTGTAATCAAGACGCGCGACACCAACTGTAGTTTGCAATGAACTGGCCAACAGCAAACGATTGGAATGCCCTGACTTTAGCCTATGCTTGCAATCATATAATACCCATAATGACCATAACCAAACTATTTTCAAACATTTTATAACGCGACGCAATATAACATATATGGCTACGACTCATAACATATTTTTGATTAAATCACTATGTTGACAAAGCCGACATTTTATATGATCAATCTTATACTAGATTTAAATTTCTTTATGAGGCACATGCTGATATTCCCTTTTCTATCAGTTAAATATTTGCTTATCTGATGCTTCTTTTAAACAACACCATATTCAATATGGAGCTAATCCAATTTGCAAAAATCTAATTACATTTCAAAGCTTAAGTCCTTAAAAGTAATCAAATAACACGATACTATCATAGAATGAGCTTCCTCTTGAATAATCCTAGCCTTCATTAATTATTTAGAAAACTTTGTTCGTAGATTAGATGAAAGAATTTACATGTAAATTCTACCTTAAAACTCAGTAACGTACGTAAATGCCTCAATACTATAAAATAAATTTAGATTATATCGTCGCAAAAAGATAGCTGATAACATTCCAACCCTTGGTAGATAGTACCAATCCAACTGTCTAAGATTCTAGAAAAATATTCAATCATGCGTACATGTGAAAAGCAATCAGGAAGCAAAATTATTTATATTATGTATTATGAAAATTTTTAATGATATGCATCAGCACTATGTAGCTATAAATTTGTACGCTGCTTTTCATATTAATATGCATTCGTACTTTATACAAATTAAAAAAATTAATAAGTATTAGATTGATTACAGAAATTATACTAAAGCAAACAATTATTTAATAAACAGACGTTTTATGTCAAATTAGTATCGGTATTTATTTATTCGTCATCTATATCCATGATAAGTAAACTTTAACAATTATAATATAAGTATCAAGTGCATTGTTTGTAAATGCAGACATTATATAAATTATTAATTATTAATGCGCGTGTGTATATAATACTGTGTATGGGATATCTTTTGAAACTAAATATACGATATTGATTGTTACAGCTATAGCTGTCAAAACTGAAGATTACGCTGTCGATAAGGTATTTTATTCAATTTGAATTTGTTGGAGACCTTTAGTGAATAACTACATGATTATTGATCTATATACAGCCGGAAAGCCCACCATCCGGCACGGTCAATGAATTAGGAAATTGGTATAAGCTTTCAAAGCAAGACAAGTGAGTAGCAATATTAAAATCGAACCTATTAATAGATAGGATAATTTTAATATAACAATCCGAATACTTTTGTATTGCAGTTCAGCAGTATCGACTACCTTAAGAAATCTTGGTGCGTTATATCGAAGACAAGGAAAAATGGGCGAAGCTAGAACTTTAGAAGATTATGGACTGCGAAATCGAAAAGTAAGAACTGCGTACAGTAGTTTGTAACTTTAATATTAGGAAATTTCAGTCGATCGGAACGCAAAATCTACCGAGATGACGTTAATTTTAACGATTAACAATTTTTTAACTTGCGAATTCAATGTTTGCTTAAAAAGTGTGATATACTTTTTTTAAGAACTCGGACAGTTCACGGCAGAAAAGGACCAGTAATCTAACTGTTATTGATGAAAAGACTAATATGGAAGGTAGTACATCGCATGTACGCATACGAAATGAGAGTATGTGCGAACCTGACGAAATCGGGACTTCAAATATACCAAAAGACAATAAAGATGACGATGCTGTAAGTAACGGTGCCATCCAATTGTTGTCCATCATCTTCAACATGTATATTTTTCAGCAGCATCTAGTGCCAATATTATTGCGAAGGTTTTTAGATTCTCGTATATAGCATAATTTCTATCCCTTAAGTCATAGTAGCATTCTATAAATTCTGTTAGGCTTCAAGAAAACGGGAAAGTTCACTTTCACGATTAAGGAAAACCTTAAGCAGTAAAGGCTTGCGTTTAATGGATAAATTCTCTACTAATAACGGTGTCGAATCACCAAGGTAGATAGATATACTTTATGCATTGTTTCGTTTGATGTTTCATATTTTTTGTTCGAAGTGAAACTGTAACCTTCACAAGGTGTATTCATGATAAAATTTCTCAAGAAATTTTTGCTAAAATTTATTAATGAAATTTAAAAACTTTAATTTGATGTCCAGATATCAGATGGGCGGTGAAAGAGTGGAATTAATGAATAAACCTGATAGAAGACTGTTTTCTCCTACTGTAAAAGCCGTTGGTAGAACCATTTCAACCCCTACACTTGCCTCACCTACTCAGGTAATGGCCTACTTAAGCAGAAAATTAATACCGGTCGGAATTATCTTTACGAATAATTGGCTCATTCTAAGATGCTCCAGTCAATTAGAATTTGCAATAGAGTTAAAATAGTAGATAAATTGGTAATCAGTCTTAATAACTTACTTAAATTATGTTTGCAATTGATTTATTTTTATATAGAAAGATAGCGAGCTATGAGAATGGGACTTGAAACTGAACACTGTTTTCTTTAAAAGCAATCAATTGCTGACATTTAGATCGTAGTTTTTTAGAATTGAATTGAATTAAATATTAATTGTACCTTGTACTAAGGAGATTATTGTATTTATATATCAAAGTCTCAAATTAACGTCGTGAATATAACGAAAGCTATAATTGAGTTACCTTACCTTAGTGTAATATATTGTTATATTTGTATAGCAATTGGTTGGCTATCATTTGACCATAACCCATGGTAAACGTATATAGATTTTGGGTAAATTGTAAAATTGGATATATTATTTGGATAACATCAACTATCTCCGATAGAATTGGATAGTACTGTTTATATTTAGGTCCAAATTTATACTAATTATTATTAGTAGTCATTATTGTAATACACATACGCATACGCATAGATACGACTCGTATCTAATATGTGTAGGGTATATATTGATCTCTGCAAGTATTACTTGTATGTAATAGAGTATTCGTATATGCTATAGTTACTTTGTTAATATTTTGATAGAATTGCTATGGCTAAGGTAGTCTAACTGTTGGTCAATATATTAATATTATTGGATACTATTCTTTTAAATACGTATGTACAATTGTACATATGCTACGTGCATGTCTCAATAAATTTCGTAGAATCGTAGCTTGTGGAAACGTCAGTGGTGATAAAATCGTCAGTATTAGCCAATGTTTCAAGTGAACTTTTATAAACCATGTTGTCCAAAATTTTTACAGATCTAAATCACAGTAAATAAATTGTCAAGCCTAGTGGCTTAGTGATCAATTTATTAGGGTTCTCAATGCTATTGCTTTGATTGGTATATATTAGTATATTGAGGGCTTGCTCTTTACACACAAGCCTCGTCAGTTTCTAGAGTTCATTTATTTTCTTACCCTTGCAATCTGATCCTTTACTCACAGATCGCTTGAATTTGATGCGTACAGTACTTACGTATGATCTAGAAATGTAGAGTTAATCTCTGAATGGATATTTTATATCGCACTGAGTCTTGGGGATATCTCCTTTCTTCATTACGTTGCTTTATAACAGCAATGGCCTTGTATTTCTCAACAACAATCCTTCTTCTTCCTCCTATATTCTACAGGACTAGTAAACATTTATTTGTATTGTAAACATATTGGCAGTCCCGTAGATTAAATCTAATATCATTCGGTACCGTAGGCTAGTGTGTTTATTTTATAGCAGAGGTCTACAAAAGTCATTCTTCATCGACGGATTGCATTCCTCACCTAAACTCCATCAAAATAAATCGAATCTTGCATACCATGCTCTACGTTGTAGCGCTGTTTCAAGTACCATTAGTACTGATTCAGTTCACTAAATGCTGCAGTTTATGTTGCTCATGATCAGCTTTGCTAGCTATCAAATCAAATCGATCTATACCAAATATCGGTAGTCTATCCTGTAGGCTTTAGAACGGTCCGGTGGGCGGAGATCTACTTTATACAGTCGTCCCTGGGAAGGCCTTTGAAGGAATTTATAGACTACTTTTATTTATGGACAAGATAACTGTTCCAAGCGAGTAGTGGCAGCAGCACCTCCGTGTATATCGTGCCCTGATTGGTAGCACTGTTTCGAGTTCTCTTGATCTACTGATTGACTTCAGTCGATGCTGCACCTCGTCAGCTCAAATACTGTAGTTGTAGATCTCCATTGACCAATTTGGCTTGCCATCTAATCAATTTGATCAATATCAAACGTCTTGGTCTAGGACGTAGATAGTTTAGCCTTCCGGCCGATGAAGATTGGTGGGACTTTTAAACAAGTGCAGTAGCGGCATCGTGAAGAATTGTCCATACTGTATATTACCTAACATCGACGTTCATTATACAGTATCCTGCTCACCAACAAACTGACTACAAAACCTTACACTAGCTGAGCATCACGTAAAACCCCTCTATACTGAGCGTTATAGTATTGTGAGCACCTTAGGCACCAATATAGCGAACGAGTCTAATCGTTGCTGCAGCACCACCGATCGATGGTTGCCTAGATGCTGCGCCTCTGCTTACGATTAAATCCAAATTAATCCATCACTTCCACTGAATATTGACTAACTGAAATCAACAACACTAAAGTAAGTAAAGAAATCTAGTTCTAATAGGCTATAGATAGCCCGATGATGGCCAACGTCTTGCAGAGAACCGCTTTCAATTGGTCACCTCCAGCACAGGTAGCTGGAATGACGGAATTAAATAGAGCTGCATTTAATCAAGTATTTCAATTGCCGGCTATTCGTATCCAACCGAAATTATGCTCGCTTTTCCTTCGACAATTACAATCTAAGACATTCAATCAACAGCGTATTCCTAATATCCAACTGGATCAAACCGATAAATTTAAAAAAATTGTCTTACTCCACCCTCAGGCCCAATTCGATGACAAGGAGTTGCAATTTGTTCGTGATCATCATGGTGAATTATGTAGTCATCATCTACCGGTTAACTACGATCATTGGTCGGTCAAGGATGTCCTAAGAGCGATTTTAAGGCCTGATACAGACCAAGCTATTACATCATTTGAAAGTGTTGGTCAAATAGCCCATTTAAATTTACGTCCTCCTATGCAGAATTATAAGAAATTAATCGGTAAGCAATTGTCAGTATTGAATCATGGTTTTGACACGAACTATGAAGCATTCCAGTTGCTGTTAATCCTTGATATCAATCTCAAAATTTAGAATTACCTTAGGTAGATCTTGATAACTTACGATAGATTAATAGATTAAGATGACATTCATGTTTAAAGTCCATTACAAAAGTGAATTAACGAAGATGTTACTTTTGTTGGAGCCAGAATATTTAGCTACTGCTACAAGTGATATGGCTCTTAGACTGTACTATAGGTGGACTAGAAAGTAGAGACTCTACAATTACTCGCAAGCATTTCCCGCAGTTAAAATTAATTTATTAGCCCAGATGTTACTTCGATTCGAGCCATCAGAACTTTTAGCTATCACTAGTACTACATTTCCCATCTTGTGATAACTTATTAATTCTACAACTAGTTATGCATTAAGTCACGCAGGCCATGGTAGGATTTTGTAATAGCATGATTAATTAATGAATACTTTTGACGTTAGAAACTAAAAAATATCGTTCAATTCCTGAGAATTGAACGATTTGTTGTTTATCATGAATCAATTCGTACCTATTCGCCCTCCTTTCCCACATCTTGATACTGATATACCGTAGTTGTAATGTACCTAGAACGTGATAAATAATTAGCCAAAGTATTACCTTGCAAGCTCAACGATGGGATACCTCAGTGTTGATCAGAAACTTCAAACACAATTCCTTCATTCCCTTTACCCCCTTCCCCAACTCTTTCAATCTAGAGAATATGCTAAAACTTTTATTCAACCTATTTTATATACTGCATATGATACAGGAGTACAGTAGATTTTATATCAAAGTATCAGCTAGCAATGATGCAGTATCATTAAATTCTTACAGAAATTTCTTAAATTTCAGCAATTAATGAACCATAACAACGTTAATTTCTAGGCTTAATTATTATAGTACAAGTGTATGATGTGATATGAAATTGTACTAGAACATAATAAATCGATGAGCTATCAATTATTTTCAACTCAATTATAGCTTAGACATTCTAGTTAGTGCCATCATAGAACTTCTTAGCTAGTCATTGATGACCAAGTCTTGTGTCTAAATTTCTAGGCTATGATAGGATTTTGCATAGTTTACTACTGTGCATATTATAATACACGTCCATTACAAATTTTATCTATTAATTTCACTTAGGCCAAGTTATACTAGATAAAAATCCACACTTAAAAACTGTTGTCAATAAGACCAGTGAAATCGACAATCAATTTCGAGTAGCGCCGTTGGAAATTTTAGCAGGTGACGATTGCATGATCACTACAGTGAAAGAGAATGAATGCCAATTCCGGTTCGATTATAGTAAAGTTTACTGGAATTCTCGATTACATACGGAGCATCGCCGAATTATTGATTTACTCCAGCCAAAACAAGTTATTGTCGACGTTTTTGCCGGCGTGGGACCGTTTGCTATCCCTGCAGCAAGGAAAAATTGTATTGTATATGCAAACGATTTAAATCCGGATTCTTATCACTGGCTACTCCATAATAGCAAAACAAATAAACTAGGAAAACAATTTTATACGTTTAATTTAGATGGTCGAGATTTTATCCAACAAATTGTAAGAGATAAAATTATAAATGAAGGAACAACGGAGAGCAAGAATTTACTCGTTATCAATCACATTATTATGAATTTGCCGGCGTCAGCAATCGAATTTTTAGATGTCTTCCGCGGTCTCTATAAAAATAGCCCGCTACATAAGTCAAACTCAATCGAAATTGATAGGCGTTATTTACCACGTATACATTGCTATTGCTTTTCTAAAGCAGAAGATAGAAAAATTGATGTAATTCATCAAGTAGAAAATGTTCTTAATACATCGCTTAAGGAAGGAAGTTATCATGTCTACGACGTACGAGATGTCGCTCCCGATAAACACATGATGTGCATTTCTTTCGATTTACCACTTGATGTTGCCTTAAACAAGCCACTTGAAGATGAGAGTGAAATTAAAGGTATGCTGTTTCTTGTATAATATATTTAATTATAATTATACTACTACCTTATGTAGTACATCTCAAGCAAATAGAGCATACTAAATTAGATAATCATACAATCCTAAAGGTGTACGGATATTATTCAAGCACCTGCAACTTCTTATTGATTCACTATTTCACTCATTACAGGCATAAATGGACTAGTTAATGATAATCGTTGTTCGATTAAATTCATATCATTATTCTAACCGTATTAGAAATGTAATAGCAACGATTGCGATCAATTAGAATAAAGTAAAAATATGACGGTATATCGCCTGCTGTTCCCTCCGGTATTTAGTCTGTAGATTAAAAACGAACACGTGCACACAGCACCATCAATTTTGCATCATACTTTTCTGCCTCTATCGTAGATCTTATTAATGATACACCTGGTAATGACCACCCCAAAAAATTGCTTTAAAGGATTTAATAAAAATCTTTATACATTTCTTAAAGCAGCAAATGCTATCTTTTTAGTATTTAACTTAGCAATAAATGACTTCGTTGTCAGATACTTTTATTACAAGTTGTATATAAAATTTTGTGGATCTCGATACAAAAGTTTATGGGTTTTAGAGTGATCTTGGAGAAGTTACTGTAGTTGTTCTTTCTGGAGAAAGTTTACAAAGTCCAATGCAGATGATACATACTAGTGATACGGCCTCCGAAAGTTCAACACTCGCTTCCTTTCTCTCGTAATTCAGTAGTAAAATTGAATTGAATCAAGACCCGCGAATGTATCTACCTGGCAGTAAGACTTTTTATTATTTAATTACCATTAATAAGGGCGTAGTAAGGAATTTTCTTCGCCACACAAAAAAGAAAAGATGTTGTACTAGTTAATGCATCATAGGACTATCCGTATTACACTTCCCATTAGCATCAATCAGCATTTCTCAGTTCATGACAAACGTTAGAACACTTAATTTTCTATTATACAATTTCTTAATTATACCATTTATACCACTCGTATGAAATTAAACTTAATTTTCAAGTTTAACACAGCCGCAATAATCATCTCGTATTGTATCATTATCGTAAAACTATATTGACGTATGTAAAGAAACTAACTGCTTTAGGGTAAACTTAATCGTGTAAAAGATTCTAAAGTAATGCTTTATGCGTTAAAAAAGTTGATATACTCACAAATTATCCATCGAAAATAATAAAAAAGATATGCCTGTCAACAAATAGATCGTCTATTTGCTTTTATGTTACTAGTATTTCATGAAATAATCGTTCGCTTCGCAACTATTTGACTATGTAATGCTGAATACCATGCTGTAAATTTAATACTGCTAAACATGCAAGTAATAAAGCTATATAATTACGTCCGTCACACTCCTTAAATTCAATTGTTAGTATTGCTGGATATTCTTTTCCTCATTGCTAAGGGTTTACATCTAAGCTCAGTTCCTTATCAACATAAATTCCGTTTAGCTTCACTAATTTGAGTGATTTATCTAATTATGTAAATTATTAATTGATATCATTTAATTCTTTTGCTTCAGAATGCAATCACAGATCGGCAAAAAGACTAAAACTGGACTAACAGCAACTTAATTAACTAAGAATAAAGTGTAGCTTAAATGAATAAAATCGGTCATATTAAGGTTGGAATTAACAGTAAATGGCAATATAATACCTTCAATTAATAATATAGTTATAAATTTGCTTATATCGGAAAACTTTATTTCTATTTCCAGGAAATCCAATTATTGTAAAACATTTTTTATTATTGCAATACTTAAATAATGTACTTAATTTTATGATTGGCTAACTTTTATTAAAAAAAACCACTTAGTATAACATTAATAGCTAACAAAAAATGTCGCTCGTTCAATATCGCAACTAGTGTAAGCTCTACTCAGTTCGGTAGTCAAAGCTAACCGTAAAAATTATGCCATTGTTTTATTCTTGACAAAGCTATTCTATGATGAACATGCAAAATGTAATATGTTCATCTGAATATTCTTTTCTACAGGATGGTATTTATAGAAATTTTGGATATTTTTCACATTAACTTCAGAAAAATAATTAAAATTTGGGTGTTATTTACTCTACTGAAATACAGCAGCGCACTTTTATAAGGAATTGAACATTGCCTATAAAGGAGATTGATGATGAAAATTCATTTCATAAATAAGTAATAAAAACTTTTAAGAAATAGCTTGAGGTAAAATACCTATCATGCTATGAGTGAGCAAGCAGAATTGAAATTTGCTATGGTAATAGTAAAGGTATACAATATCGATTAACCGATAGAAATCCAGGTGATCAATAAGAATAAAATACGAATAATTTATTCATAACTATCAAAAGTCTTTGACACTGAAATACAATACTACACTTTTTGAAATGTATTTATTTCTACTCTACGGTATTCATGATTGGCTTGCAAGTAGTCATACGATACTTATGCACTTATACCTTTCGTTTATAGAAAATATTTATTGACAAACGCAAGAATTAATTCCCTAATATACTCATCAAATTAGGATCGATAAGGAAATTTCATAACCGAAATATGTGTCTACGTGTAGATTTTTCCTTCTATAACTATTAATTTCTCAATCTAGACATCACAAGTAAGGTAGTAAAGATCCAATTAATATCTCTGTAGACAGGATAAAAATATTTAATTTTCTTCTTCAATGGCAAATAAAATCCGTCACATACGTGCCTTACCTACATTACGTGTCTACATATTTGACTTGAGACATATCTTGATAATTAAAATTTCTTAAAAATAAGGAATTAATCTGTCAGTGAGCCGAGGCAGCAATAATACTATTGAAAATTATAAAATAGATTAAAGATATTCAACTACTGATGGCAATAAGACACTCTGACATCAATCAGGCCACTTTTTAAATCATTCCTCTTTCTATGATTGCCCTCTACGGCATATTCTCTTGCCAAATATGATCACATTTTTTTAATATTTTAATCTTGACACTAGAGCTATTAATGCATTTCAACAACAATCTATTCATCCGCATTGTCATTAGTATTTTTTTTTGGATACTATAGCTTTATGAATCGATCGCATTCTAAACACAGTAATGGATAAAGTATATAGGGAAGGAGTGGCCAATTATATCCTGCTCCACAGGTTTTGCTCTAGCCAATATACTACGCATCGACAATTTTCAAATAGAAACTTTACAACCCTTTAATAATCCGAGGCGATCAACTTGCGCTTTGTTATTTTCCATCGTTATAATTATGATTAGCTAGCTGTAAGCAATTTCTAAAGCTGATAATATTTAAAATCAAAGATTTAAAAAATTGCTATGTTTACTAATAACTGGATTGCACCTATTGTCATCAAACATTGAAGAAATAGGATACTGTTAAGCCATCAAAGTGGGAAATGATTGTTTTACCTTGCTTATTAAAAATCTTTTCTTACTGGATCATCAGTAATGGAATGGCTATGGTAACTACTTGGATGATAAATATTTTCAAAAGAAATATAACTGTACCAGATACCGTTTCAAAAAATAACCAGCTGTGCTTACATTGTAATTTCTAAAAGTGAGTATTGGTATCGTAATTTTGATTTAATTTAAAATTTCTCAATTCATTATCTGCTCTATTTTGAAATACAATTATCATTTTCTATGTCATATTTTTCTCCTTCCTTACGGTAACCCATAGTGAATGGATAAATCTAGCTTCTACAAGGATAAAATATGACCTATCATATAAATTGATCATTCAACCAAAAGTGCAGTCTGATAACCGTTAATAGACGATGCACCCTTTGTTCCTTTTCAGACTGCATTAAATTTATTATTTCCTATTTTCAAAAATCAATTCCTAGTACCATTTTCAACCAAAAGGGCAGTCTGATAACCGTTAATAGACGATGTACACTTTGTTCCACTTCAAGCTGCAATAAATTAATTATTTCCTATTTTCAAAAATCAATTCCTAGTACCACTTCAAGTCAATATAGAAGAGTTTATTAAAGCTCCATCCTCATAAAAATCACTCTACTTCAAAATTACTATCTAACCTGTATTATCAAGTCCGAGAAGCCTTCCTGTCTAACCATTTGTGTTTCAAAAATTTTAATTTATTATTGGCTGAGATCGGTTAGAACAACCCATCTACTTATTATAGTGGATTTTTTTCCGAGAAATGCTGTTGCTATTCTTTATATTCATTTCATCCACAATACAAACGCGCCTTGACTTCAATAACTGCCCACTAGAAATTAAACAAACAATAATTAGTTTTTTTATCGCTTTAAAAAATAAAAATTTCAATAGATAGAAAGTTTAAAACAAGTACATAATGACAATACTTCGCTATTTTACTTTTCTCTTTCGATACGTCTTGATAACTGCAGCTTAGAATGGAGTTATGAATGATCCCTACAAGTTACATACGCTTAATCGATCATAAGATGATTAGAAAGACATTAAGCTTGGACATTCATTCTACACTTTTTCTCGTTCTAATTTCTTTCTGTCTACATTGATTCTAGGCGATGATGATAGAGCAGGACTATTTAGTTATTCTAACATATTTATTGAGTTGACGATAGAGGAAAATGCAATGCTGGCTTATTGCAAAAATTGAACTGCAATCCTTGGTGAAAAAAAAGCACAACGATTATAATAACACTTAATTTCCCCAATGGGATGCTAGTAGTTTTTATGATTTTAATTTACTGAGTAATATTGATCGAACTAAACATTTCCGATCTACTCATTTATTTTCTACTAAAAAGAATTCCTTGGCAATATTACACATTTTATTATCTAGTAATCTACTATATAGTAGAGAATTTGTCATCAGAGTGTTTCATTATGCCTTATTACGTTAAGAATCACACGACTTAATTTTATTCCACCGACATAAATTAATACGATATTAATTTTTGAAAATGATGCAGCAGATTCAATAGAATATCAACCACATT